TTCGTATTTTCCCCTTCCATCTTACGACACTGAGCTCCCCCTTCCCTGAAGTGGGAAGTCCGTGTCAGGCATGGCACTGAATAGCACTGACTGTCATTGTGAGGATTTCAGTCCTTTGCACTGCTTTCTCCATTTCTTTGATTGCTCCAGGAGAACCGTGTTAGTCTGCCTACAACGCTCCCTGCCACTTGTTCATTTTTTTATTGTCAAATAATACCAGATCAAGCCGAGGCCAGGCATCTGCTGTGGGCAACAGGACCTAGTTTGAATGTGGTGCATTGTTTTGTTTTCACTATATTTGTTTTCATTTATGAAATTCTATTTCTAGAAAGCAAAACTTGTGTTTTCCTTTCACACAGACCAGTCATCCTTTATAAATTAATTTATATGAGTAAAGAAAACAAATCAATTTAGAAAACGTTTGAGAAATGGTTGCTCAGATGGCACATATGGTGAAAAACGCCTAGGTGCCTACACACATGCACACACATACACACATGTGCATACACACACGCACGCACACATGCACGCACATGCATACACACATGCACGCACTCACATGCACACATACACACATGTGCCTACACACATGCACGCACGCACATACACACATGTGCACACTCACATGCATGCACTCGCATGCACACACATACACACAAGTGCATACACACATGCACCCACACATACACATGTGCATACACACATGCGCATGCATGCATGCACACATGCACGCACTCACATGCATACACTCCCACATGCATACACTCACATGCATCCCTGCTGGAAGGTCACCCTGAGCGAGAGAAGCACTGTCATTAGTACTGCGAAGTCCTTGGGTCATGAGATCCTGAGTACTGCTGTCTTTGCTACTAACATCCTCTGTAACGGGGAAAAATTACTTTTCTATTTCTCAGTTTACTCACCTATATAAGAAGAGAATAAAATGGGGTCATAAAAATAAATATCTCCCAGGTAAAAATCTCTTTTCCTGCTCTCATATGGTATGGAACAACATTGCTGAGAAGGAACCCAGAGGTGATTATCCTTTTTATATCACAGATCAGAGATCTGACAGGTATTGAGACTCAGTGACTTGCCCAAGGTCACAGTGCAACTTAATGTCCAATTCAAGACCAAAATACAGGTCTCACCTAACCTGGTGATCTGTTTCTCCCCCTAATTCTGACACCTTCCACCCCTACATACTCCCTTCCCCAGGTGTTACTTACAAAGCACAAGCAAACACACACACACACACACACACACACACACACACACACATATGCACACAGAGACACAATTTGAAGACATCTTAAAATAACCAAGAAGGAAATAAGCAAAGGATCACAGCAATACTGGATTTCAGAGTGGTAACACTGTTGGGTAGGATAGACATGCACCTGAAAGTTGAGAAAACACGTTACAGGGGTTTCCACAATGTGTAATCCCCTCCTTGTTCTTTATTCAGGTTAGGTACAAGCAGCCGGGAGCTGCTTTGTACCCCTCCTAACTTTTAGGGGAGGACAAGGCTAAAAAGGGTAACTAATTCATTCACCTTTGGCCACGATATATATACAACAGAACCTGCTTCAATACAGACCAGATCCAATCACCACTCCACACTCTGTAGATTGGGGGGGAGGGGAGCATCAACATGATTTCAAGGGGAATAGTTAACCATATTTTTTAAAGACTTTTTTCATTTATTTATTTATTTGAGAGAGAGAGAGAGAGAGAGAAACAGCATGAGAGGAGAGAGGTTCAGAGGGAGAAGTAGACTCCCTGTCAAGCTGGGAGCCCGATGTGGGACTCAGTCCCATGACTCCGGAATCATGACTTGAGCCAAAGGCAGTCGCCTAACCAACAGAGCCACCCACGTGCCCCAGTTAACCATATTTTTTAAATGGGATTCTTAAACACTTTCATTTTTTTCCCAAAGGTTTTATTTATTTATTTGAGAAAGAGAGCACGAGCAGAGGGAAGAGCAAAGGAAGAAGGACAAGCAGAACTTCCCGCTGAGCAGGGGGCCTGATACGGGGTTCAATCCCCTGGGATCATGACCTGAGCCAAAGACAGACGCTTAACCGACTGTGCCACCCAGGCGCCCCTCTGAAACACTTTTAAAGACTATTTTAGCAGAGCGATTTCATATAGGATGTAGTAATTGCAATGCTACAGTGCAATGCTTTTCTCATTTAAAAATGAATCCTACCCTCGTCTTTGGAAACATGCTGAACATTTTTATAAATGATCTGGGTAGAGGCAAAGGTACCAGGTTTACAGATGAACCAAGGTGTATAGAATCAGAAAATTTTCGCTAAAATTCCGAATGAAATATAAAATGGGTAGATAAAATACCCTTCACTTAAAAATAAATACATACATATAGGGTATATATATATGTGTGTGTGTATATATATATTTTTTCTTTTACATATATAGATTTATAGCAGTTAAGAAAGATCTAGAGAAACAGAAGCTCACATGGGAGGAGGTTTCAATTGATCATAAGCTGAATGTGAGCCAGAGGTAAGACGTGACTGCTGGAGAGAATAAAAATCTTAATGCAATGTTAAACTACAACACTAAATTACATTAAGTACAGTAACCTCTCTCTCTACTCTCCCCACAAGCCAGTCCCAAAGCCTGGTGCATTATGGGAAGCACACTTTCAGAGCCGAAACTAGCATCTGGCCAGAGGAGAGTAAGAGGTCAGTGGGAAAAGGGAAAGGGGCTGAAACCTGAGACAAATGGGGAATGGTTCATGGCATGGGTTCCAGGGCCAAACAAGCCCTCTTCAAAATAAGATGCCTAACTGTTCTGGAACACATGTGCCCTTGTCTGTCTCCCAGGAATGTTTTTGAAAGGATGCTGCCTGGGAGGTTAGACCCATCCACAACATCCCTCCCTGCTCAGGGATTTTACCGTTTGTGGTGGGAACAAAATCACATCTATTTTACATGGTTGTAGATTAGGTCACTTCGTTTCCTTCCTAGAGAAAAATACTCTAGAACAGAGACCGTTTTGGCAACCAACCAAGCTCCTAAAAGAAAATAAGATGTCCTGATGTGTAGACGATCTTGATGACTAGAAGATGCCATGTTGACTCAACTTAACACGCCAATCCCAACCCACCGCACTACCAACCATCTGGTGGGCCCAAGAAGCTAGAAATTAAGGGCAGAGGGTCCGATAAAATCTAAGCTGCTGGGCATCGGTGGCCAGCCCTATGGCTAGATCGTCTTGTATGTTCCCACATTTCAGAACAAAGGTGAACCCCCTGCATCAGGATCACCTGAGTCGCTCATTTAAAAATGCATGTACCTGGAGCATCTCCCAGACCTATTGAATCAGAATTACTGGAGTAGGAATCAGAAAGCTCATTTTCAGCAAGTTCTGCAGGCGATTCTTTTGCACATTGTCTGAGAACCATGGCTCCAAAGCAGTGTTTCTAATGCTTTAGTGAATCATCTGGAGAGCAAGGCAAAAGCTAGGGCTCCAGAGATTCTGATTCAGAGGTCTTACATGGGCCCCAGAATTTGCATTTCAAACAATCTCACAAGTGAGGCTGATGCTGCTGGTCCAGTCAGCGGACCATACTTGGGATTCACTGCCTTAGGGAATTCCTGATTCCATTATCAAAGCACTCAGATACTGAGGTAGGCTGCTTCTGAAAAGGCCCCCAGTGATTCCCTGTCTTTTGGTATTTACACCCTTGGTATACCTCTCCCTCCTCCTGTGGGCTGGACCTAGCAACGCCCTTATAATGAATAGAATAGGCAAAACTAATTGGAAGTCACTTCTGAGATGAGGTTAAGCCGAGACTGTTCTCTCGCTCGGCTCTCTCTCACTTGCTCCCTGATGAAGCCAGCTGCCATGTTGTGAGCTGCCCTGTGGAGAGGCCCCCATGGCGGGGATCTGGGGGCAGCCTCTGGCCAACAGCAAGCAAGGAACCGACTCCTGCCAACAGCCGTGGGTGTGAGTTTAGAAGCAGAGCCTTCCCCTAGCTAAGACTGAGGAGACCAAAGCTGACAAGCCTTGACTGTAGCCTTGTGAGCCGCCCAGGGCCAGATGACCAGCTAAGCCATGCTTGGGTTCCTGCCTTCCTACAGAAATCGTGAGATAAAAGGGTGTTTCAAGCCACCACATGTGTTATGCAGTGACAGATAACTGATAGAGATGCTTTGTTGAGGAGCTGCCCTGAAATCCATATGGTACCTTGGTATTTAAACCAACCTTCAAGCCTCCCCCATCTCATCTCTCCCCATTATAAAGGAGACAAATGTGCATAAATGTAGATGAGCAATATTTAATAATATACACAATTTACATGTAATTTATGTCATAATTTTCTTAGTGTTCAGTGTTTCAGCCTTGGCCCTTGAGGAGCCTCCCGGAGTTTCTGGAAGGTTATGGAGGAGCAGAGCTTCAGGCAGGATGGAGAAGTGAATCCGCATGAGACCCCAGGCCCCGTGCGCTGAGCTGGCCATTCTGAGGCCGTCTTTTGAGCCAAGAGCATGGTGAATTCCCACCCACCAGTCCCCATGAGCAGGGGGAGGAGGACCTCCTTTGGCTGAAGAAAGAGAAGCAAGAAACTACCAGTTTCTCTGCTGGCAAGGGGAGGGGGGCTTTCCCTGAGAGAAGTCAGTGTGCCTCATTTCCTCACTGTGGGCAGGAGAGAGGCTCCCCCTAGGGGCAAGCTTTCTCATTTTCTCTAGGAGAGCTGTGTATTGACAAAGTGCTTTTCAGAGGCTGTACGCGTGGACTTGAGTCCACTGGAAACGCTCTGGACACAAAGCCAGGACTTCCAATCCCTGCTCTATCATCCACTCCTTGTGTGGCCTGGAATGAGCCCCTCTCCCTCTGGGCTGTGCTTGTCCCCTGGGAAGATTAAGGGCTGGGCCAAGTGATGACAGGGACCCCCCAGGTCGGGGTGGAGGAGCCCTGGGTGGGGAGGCAGCTCTGGCCACGGCCACCTGTCAGATCTGGGACAGCTGTCCTCAGAGGGCCAGCCCCCCGCCGCTCAGCCACCGCGCCCTCTCTGAGGAGCGCCCGGAGGGGCTGCTGTACCACAGGGGGCTCCGGCAGATGTTGTCCAGCCTGCTTCTGATGGTGTCCTGCAGCTCCTCATCACCCAGCAGGACCGCTGCTGCCAGGGCCAGCCGGAGGTACTCGGTAGCATCATGGGCATCCTAACCGCACAGCAAGGGGGCAGAGAAGAGACAGCTGTAAGCAAACATTTCCGGGAGAGGCCAAGAGGCAGTGCCGGGGACTCAGAACTCAAGCTTCTGCCTGCCCCACACACTTTCCCAGCCCCTCCTCCTGGTTCCTAGGGGACCTCCTGCCCCACTCTACTGTGGACCGGACAGGTGACATTGCTCCCTCAGTGGCCCTGCATCCTCAGGCACAGGCGTGGTACCTCACCCAGGCTCAGCCAATCACGAAGCGGCATCATCCTGGGCCCAGGGCCTCAGGGATTCCTAAATGACTCAGGCCGACCTAGCCCAGTCATTCCCTGGGACCTCTCAGCGTGACCTCATAGAGCAAACGGTCCCTCACCCTCTTAGCCATGGGCTTGAGCCGGCCAAGAGCTGGATGCAAAGGACAGCAAGAAACAGAGAGAAGTAAAAACATACAGAGGGACGAGAAACAGGAAAAGGTGAGGAAATCTGTGATGACATTTGAGTACCAGCATCCAGAACTACCTAAAACTCCTAAATTTATACCTGAACTTCCCAGTTACTTGAGCCAATAAATCGCCTTTTTTGTTTAAGCTAATTTGAGTTGAACTCCTCTGCCTGGCCCCTAGATCCCCTGGTTGAGTCAATACGGTCATACACTCTTTTTCCCTGAACCACTTCTGGGGAGCTAGGGAACAGAGGCGAGGCGGCTGGGGAGCCCGTCACTACCGTCATGGCTCCCCCACATGGTAGGAATGAGGAACAGATGCTTCTTTGAGTGAGATTCAAAAAGGGATGTCTGGTTCCCATTAACCCTCATAAGTCAGTAATTAATTCGGGCCAGAAACAACGTCTGGTAAATAAGAAAAGGACAGCAGAGTTGCCCTGAGGTTCCCCTGGGGGCCAAACACATGCGTGTCTCAGAGGATATTAAGAGATTAAGGGCTGTGCTGGTGCAGACAGAGACCTCTGGTAAGGGGAAGCCAATACCGGGGACAAAGTTCGAGGGCCAGAATTGTAACAGAGACTTTCAGACCGCCAACACAGTTCCAGAAGTGGCTGGAAAAATAAGAAGCTCAGAATTCAACTCCCACCGAGCAAACATGAGAGTCAGGGCTAAGGCCTCATTAGGACAGAGACGTGTCTGCCTTCCTAGACCCCACCTCACTATCTCAAACATGTTAGCATGTACCCAGATTTCTCCTAGAGTTTTATATAACTTTATAAGAAATATGTCACAACTGACTAGTTAACCTATAATATTTTGAAGACACACAAGTATTAATTTTTATTTCTTTTTTTTATAACTAAAGAACATTTATTCATTTTTCACTAAGACTTTATCTTGAGCATGTAACTAAACTGTCACTACCCCCCCCCACCCCAACCTGAAGGATTAGTACAGCGAATGTTATAAAGTAGATATGAACAGTTTGAAGGACTGGAACCAAGATTAACTGACAAACAACTTCCATCTAAATTATCATAAAAATGTTTAAGTAAAAAAAAAGGGGGGAGGGGAAGGGGGCAATGGGGGTTTCAGATTGAACAAGATCCTCACATTTCATCTAATACCTTCCATCCTGGCTAGAGTACACCAAGATGGAGACAGGATTACTATAATACAGAGCCGCCACTGCAGCACGCTGTACACACCTGTGTTCCAAGCCCACCCCCCAGCCCCCACTGCTTCTAACTCAGCTATTTCCCGGCTTGTTGGGCCTGCCGATGAAGGAGCACGTAGATCTTCTCTTTAATCCAGTCTCTGTTAGAGGGCTGGTATGTCTGGGTATCAGCTCGGTAAACAAGGCAGCTGAGGTCTGCCAGATTGTCAATAAAATCAAACAACTGACTGATATCATATGTGATAGAGGGGCTGTTGGGATTCATTCTCTTCAGACGTTCTTCATACATTTTACAAACACCTTCCATGCATTCATTCACAGATTCATAGTCAGCATAAGTTCTGCCTTCTGGCCTCTTGGTAGGCTGTACCAGCAAAATGATGTGAGACATCGCGCCAAACTCTCTCGCTGCAGCCGCTGCCGACACTGCCGCCGCACACCAAGCATTAATTTTTATTTCAATGTTGGAGCTTATAGTTGTTTTGTTTTGCATCTCACACATTTCTTTAGGCCCTCGAGGAACTCACAGGGACAAGGCAATGTCCCCATAGTACCTGACAGATAAAGTGGCTACGGAAGTCATAGCAGGGTAAGGAGAAAGGGGAGCTAGGATCCCTCTCAGCAGACAGGAGCATCTTTGAGGTCTCCACTGGGGCTGAAAAGAACCATCATGTCCCCAGAGGAGTCACTCCCCACCCTATGAGATGTGACTCCCCATCTTGGGCCACGCGACTGTACCCTGAAGGTGGTGGGTCAGGGAAGAATAGGGTGGGACTGCCGCTCTCACACAGCCTTGTAAGCCTGGCTCTTACCTTCAGCTGGTAGAAGGTGAGTCGGCCCAGGCGATAATACACCTTCGCGTAGTATAGGGCCTCCCTGGGACTCTGCAGGCAGGGTGGACAGAGAGACAGAGTCTTCAGGTAGCAGTCCTCAGCCATCTCGTACATGCGCAGGGAATAGTAGACCGTAGCCAGACGGTGAAAGGCCACCAGCTCCTGCTTCTGATCTCCTAGGAATTGCAAGACTAAGGGAGAGATCTCGCAGCCAATGCTTCACGGGCATCCGATCGCTCACCCCATCCTGTGCTATTTTTTGAAAGTCTTCTAAGGATCGGGGACTGTGCTTGGGATACACAAAATAAAGCAGAAGAGGTCCCTGCCCTTGTGTGAGGTTCACTGTCTCCTAGGACACAGATGTCCCTTAAATAATCTCACACACGAAGGCAAAATTACACCTGTGGTAAGTGATGCAAAAGAAAACACCAGGCTCTGGGAGTGACTGCTTGGAGCACGTGTGCTCTCGTCAAGATTTTATAGGACGATTTCCTGAAAAAAATCTTCTCTTTTTAACAGATGTTTCTGTAACTCAAGATTCTGGGAAATGATTATTCCCAAATCACTGTAATGAGACATGGTGACAAGACTAGCTTGATGGGGTAGCTAAGGATTCTTTGTAATGACTAACTCTGTAGCACAAAGGTCTTCTCCACATGAAAGGCTCCCCCTTCAGAGAGCTCCCTGGGGCTGCCCCCAGTAGCAGTCACCCTCTGGCTCCTTCACCAGCTCAAAGTCTCAGATGACTACAGAGAACGACCGCCAACGCCCCTTCTAACTCATGCTTTAGAACCTTGGTGTCTAATGGGTCTATGATTTGTTGTTTGGGGTTTTGGTGGGTCTGTTGTTTTAATAACCAACTCCTTTAATACAAAGTGGCCTTTTAAAGAGAACAAAGGCTTCCCATTGTGGTTTTGGAATATTTGCAAGGTGGCTGTTTGATGCAATCTGAAAAACATCACTTTTAAGCTTCAAAGAGACAAAAGCCAAAAATAAAAGAAAAAAATCCAAGGGAGAGAAAATTCTCCGATATGGAAAAATCCAGTCACGGGGAAGTGCATAACAGGGTGGATATAGCCTCCTTTCAGCTTCTGTCCAGGGAAGGATAAAGGAGTGCTCAGAGCGGGAGCTGCCTGGGGCTCCCACCGCCTTTCCTGAGATAGCAGACTGTCCCTCAGATAAGATTTTCTGCAGTAAAGAAAAAGGTAGGTAAAGGAGAGAGAGAGCTCTGAAGTGCAATTAGACACAATAAAGTCCAGTGCCATCCACATCTCAGGCCCTTGAGAATGCCCAGAAGTCCCTTCTAGAATCCTCCCAGAAGACTCCATTTGCCCCTCCATCAAATCAAGCCTTCTCTAATCAAACCTGCTTTTCCTCAAAACCAACATTCAAGAGGAGGGGGTTTTTTTTTCGTCTTTTTTTTTTTTATTCTGCCTTTTTCCTGTTTCCCACTAGCTTCCGGGGTCATTGCAAGCTTTCTCAGCTACACAGTGAGTTAAGTTCATGGGAATTTGATCTTCATTTACTTTTCAATTCCGTGTGGAAAATGTGCTTCTGACTAACAATCAACCCATTAAAAATTTAGGGCAGAGGTCTCTGGTAACAGGGGCACTGCCTGTGCACTGGATAAAATACCACTTACCCTGCACTGGGAAACAATGCCAACGGTGGAATGATAATCAGTATGGTGCAGGTAACACTCAGCAAGGACTTAGGTATAAAGCTCTGTGCTGTGGGTTTTACACGGATAATCACCGGTCTTCGTAACAACTGCATGAGGTGGGGGCTGTTTTTAATCCCCATTTGCCAATGACACACTTGTGGCTTATAGACATTAAGCAGCTTGCTTACAACTAAGATCTCAGTTGGACCTGGGATTTGAACCCACGCAGTCTGACTCCAGAGCCTCTGCTGTTACTACTATGTTATCCCCGCATTGGATAAGCGGGTAGCCCTCCCATTCAATATGGCCGACCATCAGGACCACCTACCTATGACCGTGCTGAGTCTGGCCGCCAAGGTGGCGAACTCCAAAGCCTTCTCATAGCCTTCCAGGCTGATCTGCAGCTCCGTCAGTTTATTGAAAACCCGGAGCTCTGTTCTCAGGGCCTTCATCCTCCTCGCTAAAGGAACGGCCCCGGCCTGAGAACAGAAGCACATGGAAACATAGTCCAGCTAAGAATCCTTGGTACAGACCGTACTCTAGGAGGCTTACATTTTGCTGGTAGGGGTTGGGGGGATGGCCATGGCTTTTCACAGCTCGCTCTCCTGGCCCTTGCTCTTGGTTGCTCTGCCCAGATTTTAGAGGTAGGAGAACTAAAGGTCATCAGACCTCCTAAGACCAGAAAAACGGAGATGAGGAAAAGGAAGATGACATTTCTTGAGGCCACATGGGAACGTATTCACCTCCCAGGCACATGATCCATTAGCAACCACAGCACCATCTGTGGAGTATGCACATGGTGTCTGAGAGTGCCCAACAAATGGTCATTTCTATTACTTTTATTATGATAGAATTGTAGGCAGGTCACTTCATCCCTCTAGACTTAATTTTCTCATCTCTAAAGTGCATAGAACAATGAGTAGCTCAATAGTCAGGGACATGCTTCTTGTTCTCCCCACCCCTAGCTCAGTGCCTGGCACATTGATAAATGTTTGATGACTGAATAAAGAGCTGAATGAGCAAATGAATGAATAAATGAAATTTTAGGGTCAAATAAGATAATGAGATTTCCAACCTTCAGTCAGTGATGAACAATTATGATTTTGACATATCTGTTTAACATCTGCACAATTATTTAATTACTATCATTTTTAAATCAACTGTCTTTTATTACTTTGCCTCATCCTTTGCAATAATATCTGTGAAGTCATGGGTTTGATGTGCTGGTATTACACATTTTTAATTTTTAAAATATATTTGAGGGTGGGAGGGATGGGGTGGCTGGGTGATAGACATTGGGGAGGGTATGTGCTATGGTGAGCACTGTGAATTGTACAAGACTGATGAATCACGGATCTGTACTTCTGAAACAAATAATGCAATATATGTTAAGAAAAAAAAAGAAGAAGATAGCAGGAGGGGAAGAATGAAGGGGAGTAAGTCGGAGGGGGAGGCGAACCATGAGAGACGATGGACTCTGAAAAACAAACTGAGGGTTCTAGAGGGGAGGGGGTGGGGGGATGGGTTAGCCTGGTGATGGGTATTAAAGAGGGCACATTCTGCGTGGAGCACTGGGTGTTATGCACAAACAATGAATCATGGAACACATCAAAAACTAATGATGTAATGTATGGTGATTAACATAACAAAAAATTATTTAAAAAAAGAATAAAATATATTTTAAGCAGAAAAAAAATAAAAAAAATAAAAAAAAATATTTGAATGCGCACACTTGATAAAAACATAGTAAAACGAAAGTGTTCATCCGGGGATCCATCATCTCCTATCATGCCGCCAGTGGTACACAGGAACATTCTGGTAAACACAGAATTATGCTAGAAATGGTAAAGTACCATGCACCCAAGAGGTGTAATTATTTTGGTGTGTTTTCCTAGAAAGGATAATTTATCAAGCCCAGGAATGACAGAGTTTATCAACCCCTTCTTTGAGAGCCCGTTGATTGAAAAAAAGGGAGAGCAGGTGGGCACTGGATGAGGAAGGAAAGAAAAAGGAATCCCAGCAAGAGAGGGGAAGGGGACCCCAGGCCACGTCGCCCTGCCCACATTTGTACCAGGGCCCAGCTTGGTGCACGGAGCAGCCCGGGACTTACTCGGTAATACTCCACCGCACGGTGCCTGTGGCGGGTCCCATTGAAGAACACATCACCTGCTTCTTCATAGAGTTTGAGAGCCAGAGAGGGCTCCTCAGACTTCAGGGCTTTCTGGATGGCTGCCTGGATGGGACAGAGACAGGTGTCAAAGGCAGAGAGGCCTTCCAAATATCCACAGGAGCGACAGGAATGAGATCCTGACCACCTGGTTTAACCCTCTGCTCACATCCTCCGAACGCTGAACTGTCCTCCACACTCACAGGACCGGTAAGAAACCTTTGCGACTCCCTAGTCCGGCATTTCCCCACCACGGTATGAAAGACTGCTGTGGTAGCCCGAGAGACGATTTTGAGCAGTACATAGACAAACATCTTATGTTTTAATAGTTCAGTATTTATTTTAATGTGTTTTAGAGAAAAGATTAATAATACATCCACACCTGTGATTTCAGATAGTGTTATTTAGTGTAAAAAACTAAGTTGATTTGAAGCTGAGTCAAAGAAAATAGTAATGGTACAGAAAATACATGAACATGGCAAAACCATGAACTTCACCCATAAATAGCTGCAGCTTGGAAAACAGTGATCTCATCCAACACCTGCACTTCGCAGATGGAGAAACTGAGGCTCAGAAAGGAGACGGGAACTCTGTGTTTATATAGTAGTTAGTGGCAAAGAAATGCTAGTGCCTTCCAGCCCCGTACCCTTCTCCTGGCACCTAGGACCTCTTTATCTCTTGCTTCCATACTGCATCTAAACAGAAGGCGGAGAGGAAGCTGAAGTGGTGGATGGACCCCACAGCATCTGCAGCACCACTAGGGGACCTCAGAGAGCCTGAGGTTGAGAATGGCCCTGCAGAACAGCAGGAACCAGTCTGGGGTTGTGCGGGCCTGGGACCAGGCCTGGCCAGGGAGTCTCTGGGGCAAGACCCCCCCGTACAGAGGAACAGGCAGGGAGATGGGATCCTGCCATCCAGAGGCTCTGCCGCCAAGCAACGAACAACCCCACGGCTCAGCTCCCTCTGGGCCTCGCCTCCTGGAGAGCCAAAGGCTAGACCTAATTATCTGCTCTCTGAAAACCCTCCCAGCCTCTAACATCTCACGGCAGAATAGCGTAGAGGCTGAGAGTGAAGGCATTATGTCACACTGTCCGTGTGCAGTTTTCACCACTTACCAGCCAGATCACCTCGAGTAGCTTACTCGGGCTCACTGAGCCACATCCGTAGAATGGGAGTTTGAGTAGAAACTCCTGCTGCATTTGGAATGAGGGTTCAACTACAACAGGTATGTGACATGCGGGCAAAATCTCCTGTGCACAGTGAGTGCACACCCAATGCCACACAGCCATAATTAAGCCTCGGTGGAAGTGGGTTTGTGTGAGTTTAAGTAATAAAGGGAATAATAGGGAGAAAATAAGAAATGGGAAGGAAGAAAAGATAACTGGCATATTTTCAGTGGAACAAATAATATATACCATCATAATGTCAGCCTCGCGCAGATAACAGAAATGATGATTAAAAAGAAAAAAATCCAAGGGATTTTTAATAATAATAGTAAAATACCATTCATTAAGAATTTACGGGCGCCTGGGTGGCTCAGTCGTTAAGCGTCTGCCATCGGCTCAGGTCATGATCCCAGGGTCCTGGGATCGAGTCCCACATCAGGCTCCCTGCTCAGCGGGAAGTCTGCTTCTCCCTCTCCCACTCCCCCCGCTGCTTGTGTTCCCTCTCTCGCTGTGTCTCTCTCTGTCAAATAAATAAATAACTAAATAAAAATCTTAAAAAAAAAAAGAACTTTTGCAAAAAAAAAAAAAAAGAATTTACTAAGTCCCAAGCATTTAGTAAATGCTTGCTTTGCATATGCATTTACTATGCAAGTGACACACCTAACCCTTACCCTAAGAGATCGGGTTTACCCATGAAGACACTGAGGCCCCACGACATAGCAGAAGTAGCTGATGTAGCAAGCCCACGGTCACACAGTCCATGATTGATGGCCCTGTGATTGGATTCCAGGCCTGTGTCTCTCCAAGGCTTTTAGCCACTACACTCTACCATACGTCAGCTATTAAAGGGACACTGGAAGGGGACAGTACTGTCAACGCCCTGCACACATCAGCCTTGCCTCACATTGCAGTGGAACCCCAAAGGCAAGGCGTGTGTTGAGCTTAGCAAAAGTAGATCTACTTGACATGACAGATGAGTGAGTCTCCTAGCACGTTCTCTGAGAGCTCATGCATGTATCTGGGACTCAGGGATTGTTGGTCACCAGACCTCCCTGGATTCCATCTTGTGCCCAGGGAGCATCCCAGGGTCGACCCTCCCTCCAAGGGCTCAGCATGGATATCACCACTCTCTAGCTACAGCCGGTCACTTTGGAGGGTACAGCTGTCTCCTCTAATGGCCCAAGTGGGCAGATGAGCTCTACAGGAGGCCTACCTGTAGGTACAGCTCCACCAGCTCATCTTCCCGCATGAGGTAGTGGAGTCGCCCAGCTCCGAGCCAGGCCTCAGCAGCCTTGTCTTTCTCCCCTAGGTCGATGAAGATACGCAGGCTCTCTTTGATGCAGGTGAGAGACTTCCTGAGAGACCTGGGGGGACAGACACAGACCCATTAGGTGTGAGTCAAGGGACCCCTCCGAGGGGCCTTGGAGTCACTCAGCACCGGAGGAAACTGAGGCTCGTGGAGGGAGTGAGATTGACCCTGATCATACAGAGAGGTTGGGGCCTGATTTGAATCTTGGCTCTGCCTCGAACATCTGTGTGACCTTGAGAACGTATAGAACCTTTCTGTGCCTTAGTTTCCCCATCTGTAGAATGGGGATATCACGGTACCTGCCTCAGAGGATTGCTGGAAGAATTAAATGAGATGGAGAAACTGCAGTGCCCAGAACAGTGCCCCCCACAGAGTAAGTAACAGTGATGAATGCTCATGTTAGTTGTCACTTTCATTAGTATGGACCATGGCCCAACCATCTTTCGACTGCACTATGACATTTTTTCCCATAAGCACCTATAACACACAGGGGATGCCAAATGCATATTTATTGAATAAATGCACAAATGAATGACCGTGGTGGTGACTTTAAATCATCAAAAAGATGTTGATGTTTTGTTTAAGAAGAAAAATCAAAGAAGGGCAAAAGTTTTAAGAGGTTGGTGCCTAATGGAGGACTCTAATTATCTGGAAAATTGTCTTATATAGAAAACTCTTCCTCCCCGACAGGGATTAATGAAGAAATGAGGCATAGGTATTGTAGTGTGCACAGATTCAGAATTCTAGAAAAAGAAGGAACACTGGGTATCATCTAGTAGTTCTCCGTTCCAGCAGCAATTAGAATCACCCAGAAGCTTTTTGAACATACATACACAGGCAAAGTGACCCCAATGCATGGACACACCATGGTAGCCTGGGAGACTCTGGGAGCATCTTGTCAAAGCTCAATAGCAACTTGACTGCGAATGTGGGTTGAGATTTGCAGATCCAACCCAACCCCCTATGTTATAGAGGAAACAGGCCCAAGGGTGGGAAGTAATTTGCACAAGGTTGCACAACACATGAGGGGAAGATCCGGGGCCACAACTCCCTTCTCCTGAGTCCCAGCCCGGAATGCATCCCACAGTGCCTACCTTCCTCTGAGACTCATGGTGCTCCTGCAGCAGCATTATCTGGGAGTTTATTAAAAACACAGACTCCTAGAGTTATCTCAGACTCACTAAGTCCAAATAATTACAGATGCAAGCCCTGAATCTGGATTTCTAATGCACCAAGGTTATTGTTCATGCACACCAAAGTCTGAGAACCACTACTCCAAACCATACAGATCCTTCTAGAAACACTGATCATCATCAACCAAGTGTATGAACAGTTAGGAGGTCCTCATCAAACCTCATTATGGGCAACTCAGCCCCAAACCCTTGTGCACAGTGATGGAAACAAGCATCACCTTCGACTAATGAGGCCCTGACTCATCTTGGCGATGAGGCGGCTATTGGCCTTCTAGAGAAAGTGACAGGTTTTGGCCCTTGGGAGTTTTGAGAAGAAAGAACTTAGGTTTTCCCCACTGCCCAGCTCCTGATATGACATCCAGGATGTTCACAGGCCACTCTCACTTAAGTATTAGAATGTCAGACTTGCTGCTGTGACCATGCCGTGAGCTGAGAAGCTGCACAGGATGCCGAGCTGGTCGCCAGTCTCCCTGGTTGAGCTAGGATAAAAATTCTTTTATCATAGAAGCCCTGTCCTTCTCTTGCCTGCTTCATACCGCCCCCCGCCCCGACCTCCAGCACAGTTTCCAAGCACGGCTCTCCCCACTCCCACTGGAACAGTTGATGAAGACAGGACTCATACATCTCATCCTCCTATTTCCTGCTCTGTTTTTCTTTATCACCATTTGCTGTCCTGGGAGACACTTAGGCTATGGTTGTTTTCTCCAGACCCCCAGGGGGCAAGATTTGGGTTATTACAAAGAAGCCAATTACAGAGGAGGAGAGGAACTTTGCTTCTTAGACGTTTTCTCTCCAAGCTCACTATGACTGCGGATGAGAGATCCATATTTCCAAGAAACACCCCATTGCGGGAGGCAGGATTTACAGAAGCCTAGCTAGTCACACAGCACCATCAAGACTCCTTGGGCATGCAAGGTTTTCCAAAGACCACTGCCTCCCAGCAGCACGTACACCTGAGCCATGATATCCAGTAAAAACACATGCATTAAGGTCTGAACTTGGGAGGTGGTTTCCAGCCTCCTTGGTCTTGTCATGTCAGTGATCACCACCCCATTCGTTTGCATATGACAATGGCAGCGCTTTATCACCCACCGGACGAGCCACCGGCTTGGCCTGGAATGGCTCAACATCCCAGTTCCTTCAGCCTCACCTGCAGCAGGCTCTAGGTGTGGTTTAGCTCCCAAATCAAAAGAAGTAAGGAGCCTGCTGGGGGGGACAGCCTTCATCCCAAGTGTCATGCACTCCTGGGCCGCGTATGCCCAGGCCCTGTCAGGGTATCTCTCCTCTTTCAACCCTGAGTCCTCTGTTTCCCACTTTTCCTGCCCCAAAGGTTTGGTCTTTACAGCTAAGTCCTTATTTCTTCCTTCCCACCTGGCCCTCAGCCATGAACTTGTGACCAAGGAACTCTGATGCACCTGCATTCCCAGACTTCCTCTTTCCCTCCCTTACCGGGGCTTTCCAGATCCTGCCCTGCCTGAATGAGCGTCTGACCTCTCACTCATTGGTCCTGCCCCATTGCCATAATAAGAATTGCTACTCACCAAGAGCTGACCCCATGCCAGGTGTTGGGATGTGAATTTTCAGTATACGTTCTCCCATTTAAACCTCAGAAACACTAAGCCGCGAGGGATCCTAGCCCATTATGCAAATAAAGAAACCCAATGGGGACCTTTTTATCTTGTCCAAGTTTGCACTGTTCATTTCTAAAGCTTTATGTTGAGCCCTCTGCGGTTTTGTCTTGTAATACGTGACAGTAATGGTTCCCTGATATTTATTGAGCGTTTGGCATGCATTATCCCATGTGATCATCGTAACAGAACTAAGCGAGCAGTAACATTATTACCTCCATTCTACGAATGGGAAAAACAAGGCTCAGAAGGGGTAAGTGACAGGGACCAGGTAATAAACGCTGGTTAAACCAGAGTGTAACCCTGAGAATCTGACTCCAGAACCCCGCACGCACCCTCAAGCAGTGCTCAATCTCAGGCTCAGAAACCAGCACATGGGAAGGTTTCTGCTGCTTTTACCCCTCTAACAGCCTAGAAGTTTTGAAGAACATAAGCTACTTTTCAACCTTGAACAAAGTTTCCTCACCTGCAAAAGTGGGGTGGTGAAGTACATCTAGCCTAGTGCTCAAATGACAACATGTCAGTTGAAACAGTTCTTTCCTGGCTCGGGATTTCAGAAATGTTAGCTATTGGTCATATTCGTTACATTGAAAACCAAATGTTGAGGCATTTCTTTTTTTGTTCCACAGGAATAAGAAGCATAAAAATAAGAATAAAAGCCAGGAGTAATGACTTCTAGGCTACTATTATATTCATATGCAAAGAACTGTTATTTTGTGAGGACCTATTGCACGCAAGGCATTTCTTCTTTCTAAAGATAATATGCACATCCTTCGTGGCACCTACCACAGTTTATAGGATACCTTTGGTGAATATGTATATAAATATCATCAGTCTCTTGAACTAGTCTATAATCATTGTGAGCTCAGGGACCATATCTCTCTGTCAGGTGTTTGGGCTATAGTAAATGCTCAGTAAATACTTGTTGCGTGGATTCAATAGAGCCTCAAAATTCCCATGGATCCCACCTGGTTCAACTCTAGAACAAGGTACCGTCTGTATTGTGTCACCTGAAGACCGAAAACAAGATCCCCAAGGACTGTGCGTTGAGAGATCGAAAACACCAGATCCTATAGTTGTCACCCTGGAGGCAGAGAGAGCCAGACTCTAACGGTACTGGACAAAGGGACAGCAAAGTGTTCCAGGGCAAAACCCCAAAGGCTGGGCCACAGCTTTCACCATCTTCTGGCCCTCCCCTACCATCCTCCACCTCTAAACCCTAGAGAAATCTTTCCAAGAGGAGGAATTAACATGAGTAGCAAGGTGGCCCGGAGTAGTGAAACCATCTTAAATGGAGGAGGCAGGGATCTGGGATGATCCCAGTGTGACCAAGCGGGTCAGCAGTCTGGACGCTCTGGAGCAGGCAGGGGTCAGACCAGAGGCAAAATGAGGCCCTTCTCATCCATACACCTCCCAGAGGTTTCACACTATCGCCATCCACACTTATGGTTTATTGAGGGTGAAAAGTGTTGGCTGAACAGGCAGAAGACCTACAGAGTAGTTAAGAATACGGACTCTAGACCAGGGGTTGGCGAACTATGGTGAACTATGGCCCATGAACCAATGCAGCCTTCCTCCTGCTTTTGTCAACAAAGTCTCAGCGGCACACAGCCACACTCATTCATGTACGTAATCGACGGCCGTCTGCACGCCGCACCTGCAGTATACTTGTGACAGAGACCACATGGCCACAGAGCCTAAAACATTTACTATCTGACCTTTTCCCAAAAAGTTAGCTGACTCCTGTGCTAGACTTAGCCTGGCTGTCGATCCCCACTGTGCAGCTTCATGCAAATTACTTGGCCTCTTTCGTTCTGTTTCTACAGCTCTTTGTGCCCCCACGCAGTTATCCTGAGATTACACATCGCTTGGGAAACGCCGCGTGCTCACTGAACACCGTCAGTCACCATTACGACCACCATTTTCACTACGGCTGCTCGCTGTGCCAGTCCAGAGGCCCACTGCTCCCCACCCCAGCCCACCCCTACACCACCTCCTAGGGCACGGGCTGGAGGCCTCTCTCTCCTCTACTACCCACATGCACGTGAACACCCACCTTCCTCAAACCTACAGAATGCCTTCCAAATGTGTCCTCACCTTTCCACAGCTACTTCCAGTCCCTCGGCCCAAAATGCTTGTTCTCTTAATCTCCTCCATTTTCCAAAATCCTACCCATCCCCCATGGCCCTTCTCAAACGCTACCGCCTTCACGCAGCCTTCTGTGACAGATCCCCAACCCTCAGCGGCAAGTGTCCTCGTCTTCCCCCCCGCCCCCACATTCACCCCTGCAGTCGCCTGCCATCTTGCCCAGGAGTGTTTGCTACTTTTGAGCTTCGCGAGGATGGAAATCTTGTGGGGCGAGTTTAGTTGAAGAAAGCTGTCTGTACATTAAGCCCCACTGACTAAATACCTCCTAGAAATCAGTGCCAGAAAAACATTTGCTCCCACAGATACATTTGTTTATGTTGTGGTTTTTTTTTTGGTTTTTTTGTTTGTTTGTTTGTTTTATCAGACAGTGAGAACCTCTTGTGGCTTTCCCCTTTTTACCTCAGCTACCAGGAAGCTTAGAGCAAAATTACAGTAACCACCTCCAGGTGCATGCAAATACCTGTTTACCTGTGTCTGCCGGGCACTCTGTAGGAGCAGGTGATTTATACATGCTAAATAAATGTAGCATTATAGCACGTTCTCCTTGCTGAACCAAGCATTCTGCAAAGGGATAATGACCTTATGTTTGCAGGGTTTCCTCTGACACCTGAGGCACTTCTCGATCTACTTCCTCGTATCACTCACATTGGTGGTAAAGCAGGAGCAGGGGAGGTTTATGTCCTCCCCCAGTTATACAAGACAGAATCTCAGAGATTAGACTTATAGAAGATTAGGGTTAAAAGATCCCCATCTTGGATCAACTTCCAGAACGATGGCATAAGGACCGCCAAAAACCCACTCCCCCATAAAAGGACATGCGAAGGGTGTCCTAGAATGAAAGCAGTGTCGCTCTGGGACCACAAGTCCTGTCCCCTCCCATGCTGCAAGGATCTGAAACTCCCTTCCTAGAATGGGAGGCAGAGATAGTGGGAGGTTTGGAGGACCCCTGATTCTTCCAAGAGAGGGAAAAGGTGAGGGAGAGGGAGACAGAGTAAGGGGGACAGAGAGAGAGAGAGAGAGAGAGAATTTGTTATCTGATTATTAGTGATCTGGTAGTCAGGGGTCCCAAGGTTGCCACGTTGCCTGGAAAAGCAACACTTGTCATTCAGTTAGCTTCTCCTCAACCACCACTCTCTGCTCAACGATAGCAATGATCCCGGCTCTATTTTAGATGTCATTCATAATTATGAATACAATGCCACGATGCTAATCTGTTGCAAAATGAAATCGGACATCTTGCAAACCATGCAGAATGTAATGGAATCAGTTAAAGGCCTGTGGGGAAGCAGAACTGAATGAGGGGTAAGCAGATTCCACCCAGCAAGGAGATGAGAAAAGAGAAAGGCAGCAGGACATGGCAGGATACTTCACGTAGGAATAATTTAAAGATCAAGAGGTTAAAAGGAGCTTTGGGATAAAACAGTTGCATTTGGTGTATTTTTGCAAAAAGGAGCTTTTGAAGAGAGGGCTGAAAAGTCGATCACAACACAAAGGATATTTCATGGTGCTGTTATGCAATTCTGTCCACACAATTAAGCTAAAAGTCAACACTTCTTTAGCGGTTGATCCCATGACTTATCGCATGGCTGCCATTCTCACCTAAGTCTCTTCACAAAACGGTGGAAATAAACTCAGTTCTGTCATTTCCAGTTTCATTTTATAAAAGGGAAGGTTCCAAATCAAACTTCTTTACGATGAAATTTTACCCACCCGCCAGTGGATCGATTCACTTTGTGCCATTTCTCTAACACCTCCCACCCCCCCAACCCCGCCCCGTCCTCAGGTAACCAAGGCCTCCTGAGGGGGCCAGCCTGGTTATAACTGCCACCTCTCTGAATTAGCTACCCTCAGCCAGGATCACGTGATGCTTATTACGGACATAAGGGAGTAACTGCAACCCAGCCAACATCACCGAGCCCCCTCCACGGATCAGGCACTGTTCCAGGGGTTCCAACTCATTGATTCCCCACATGAATACTATAGTGTAGATGCCACCATTATTGTCTTCGATGAGGAAGTTGAGGTAGGGTGAAATTAAGTAGCTTGCTCAAAGTCACACAGCTAATAAGTGAAAGAGGACACTGTGTGGTGGCTGCAGGTCCCACGCTTTTTTCCATGATGCCATAAACACACCATGAGCCTGGGAACTTTACTTCCGGAGGAAAAGAATGCTGTTTCTCTTAAAGGAAGATAAGCTGTTTCTAGACCCGTCCCCAAGCCCCGACTCACCTGGCCGTGTTCAGGTTCCGATAGAGCTGCCCGAGGGACTCCAGCAGCCTCCCCTCCATCTCTCGGTCCCTGAGTTGCTGAGCCAGGGTCAGCCAGTGTTCGTGGTAAGTGATGCATGCCTTGGGGTCTGGGGATACAGAGCTGTAGAAATGGCAGAGGGATTTGGTGACCTGAAGCTGACCTGAACATAAAGCAGGGACATGAATGAGATCGCTTGAGATAGGATGAGGGCAAAACGTGCTCTCACACTTTTCTCTAAAGCTTCCAGTAGCACAGGGCATACTCACTCTTCAGGTGTCGATGCCTTAAGCCAAACAGCAATGCCATTTCATAACAAAGGCGGCCACTGGCTGGCTGGCGCCCACGCACCAGGACTTGGGCCAACCAGAGAAGGACCTGTACTAATTCCATGTCTGTCTCCATGCTGGTCTGGAGTTCAGAATAGAGTCGGATGGCCTGCAGGAGATAGTCCTTGGCTGGCTGCTGAGCCCAGGACATAAGGGTCAGGTGGCCAAGATTGGCCAACGTCACCGCCTGGTTACGCACATTCCCCATTTCCTGAGCTCTGTTCAAGGCCCGGAGATAGCTCTTGGCTGCCCTGTTCACCCGGCCTTCACCTTGAAGTGCAAGTCCCAGGAGGTTATGGACCACCCCCTTTCGGGTGATACTCTCTGTCTCCTTCTGAGAGTATAGGAGTGGCTCGAGGATGTCCAAAGCCTTCTTGGCCTGGCTGGCTAAGAGATATGCCCATGCCAGGCAGAGGGAAGACTCAAAGGCTTCCTGCTCACTCAGCAGCTGCCCTAGCACCAAGGCCTGGCTCAGGTAGTGAATGGCACCATCGGGAGACCTGTGTTGGAGGTACACTTTGGACAGGATGAGACACAGGGCCCTCTGGGTGCTCCGACTGGCCTGCTCCTCACAGGCAGCCAGTGCCTGGCTGAGTGCTGGGCAGGCCAGAGCAGAAACTTCACCCCAGCTTGAAGAGGGAACTCCAAGGAGTTTGGTGGTGTTCTGGAGAACCAGGTAGACCTGCCAAATTGGAAAGGACATCCCTTGGCCACTCTGGGTACCACGTTCCCGGACAGAGGCCACTGCGAGGTGTGGGAGATATTTCTTATCATACAGAAAACTCAAGATGGTTGCTGTAACTTCCAAGTCAGGAAGGTGTCCAGAGAGGAGCTGCAGGCGCTCGGCGAAGGGCAGGACCTCCTCATGCCGGCCTAGGCTTAGGAGCAGTCGGATGGCCAGGAAGCAGGCCCTGGCCTCCAAGGGACAACTGCCTGACACAATGCCCTGGCGTAATACGTAGGCCACCACGTCGAGCTCATTCTTGGTACTAGACTCACGGTCCGGCAGGCAGGCCAGCAGGGCCCCTGCTTTTTCCAGCAGAGCCGAGCCTTTATGCCTTAGCCTCTGCCTCAGATAGATGGCAGCCAGATTGATATACAGAGCAGCCACCAAGGATAGGTCTTTAAATGTCCCATCAAGGATGTACATAGCCTCCTCAAAGTAGACCCTGGCCTGGGAGAGTTTGACCTTCCTGACACTCAGCCGGCCCAGGAGGAAGCAGAGCCGGGCGTGGGCCCAGGTCCTGCGGCTCCGCTTGGCCCACTTCCTTGAGGCCTCCAGGTAGGCCACAAGTTCGTCCTCCTCAGAGAAGCTGTAAAAGGAAGATGTGAGGAAAGAGAAGGAGAAATCATAGAGGCTCTTAAAGTGGTCAGCGTAACCCTCGTGATCCAGAAAAGCCAATATGGGGGCGAAGTTCTCAGCCTCCTCCTCTTCCTGACTAGCAAGGTCCACGAGCAGTTCCGGGTCATCGAGGTCATCAGGCTCTGGCAAGTGATAGCTGTCCGAGGCGGCTGAGAGGAGCTCCTCCTCCAGGCTGGAGTCCTCAGAGCTGCTGGACTGTCTGGAGCCCACGGCCTGATGCTCCTCCCAGGCTCTGCCAGGCCTGGCCTCCTTGAAGCCTTCAGGCTGGGACGCTGTAAGGGACAGGCAGAGTTGAGCGACCATGAGCACCTGCCACTGTGGTGGCCAGCTCCTGGCAAGATGACAGGATGCTGTTCTGAAGGACTGGAAGTCAGGTTCAGCATGATCTCTACTCACCACTTAGATCGTTTGGAAGACTCTGGATGGATTCAAACCCACCTGGATAGAGACGAAGGACAGACCGGTGTTAGGTCAGAATGGGCCACCATGCCTATGCCTGCAGGTGCACCCCAGACCCGCGGTCCCTGAGGACACTTTGTGTTTAAATTCCTCTGAGAACCTGGGTAGAATTCTCTCCTTCATCATCAGTTTAAGAGCTGCAGGGACCTGCAGAGTATCTTGTTTAAGCCACTCACTTTAGAGTTGGGAACTGAGGTAGAAATTAGACCCAGAGCCAGAAAAGAAAAGCAGAGAAGCTAGAAACACAAGTTCTTTTCCAGGAGGTGTAGGTATGGAGAGGATGACAGAATCTAAAGAACCAAGTCCCCCAGCCAGCTGACAGCAGAGCCACGAACAAAACATGTGGCACCGGCTCCCATTTTCATGTGTACATCCTTCCTTCTTCCTTCCCCCATTCACACATCATCCATCCTCTCAACTGTCATTGACTCAGCTGTACAACGCGCCACAGGACTAGGTGACCAAAGGTGACTAATGAAGAAAAGAGAGTGAAGAGGCATCTGAGGGTCCTAGTTTTGTTCCCTGAAATCACTTCATGGGATGAGGTGGAAGAAGGGACAGTCTGGAGCAGAGCTTCAGACATTCTGCATCTGAGGTACTCACAGGACCTCTAGGCTGAGAAGGAAGTAGATCTGTAGCCAGAGAAAAAAAAGTTGAGCCTTGCAAATACAGATTTAGAACCCCCAGTGGGCCACGAGGAATGGGTCCAAGTCCTAGGAGAAGCATTCAGACAAGAAGGCAAAGCAGCTGGGGAAGGGGAGTTTGTGAAGGAGCCAAAGAAACGTCAGCATTTCCCAGCAGGTGGGAGGGAGCAAAGGGGACTGGAAAGGCACAGTCTGGAAAGGCACAGACAAGGAGACCAAGGTGCCTCTGGGACAGCCACCTAACGTCACAAAAGTGAAAGGAGGCTTGGGTTTGGCAGCAAAGAACTGAACCCTCTTGGGTCTAACTGTGGAGGTGAAGGCCAGGTTCACGGCCCCCCAGGACAGGGGCTGCTGGAAATAAGATTCTACCTCTTCCCAGCAGAGAGGCGCCAACTGCCTGTGCCTTCGCCCTGGGATCTCTGACGGACTTTGAGGACAGCGGGCCCCACACCCAGTCGAGCCGCCGCCTATTACCCTCTGTGAGAGTCGCCGTAGCTACGTGAGATCTGTAACCTGTAGCGGTAGAAGGCCCCGTGCCTAACGTGGCACAGCTAGGGAGATGCCTTGTGGCCCAGCCCTTGCTGACACTGGGAGCCCATGCCAGCCTCACTCCAGGCCAGGACCACCGAGAACGCAAATGGTGCATGAGTTACAAAATGATGCCCCCTCTGGGAGGAAGAATTACAGAGGGGACTCCTTCCCCACGTCAGAGGCTTTGGGGAAGCTGGAATTTACCAATAGGATGCCCCTCTGCTGGCTGCCGTGGTGTCAGGGGATGCCTGCGTCATCATGAGGCTCTGGCCTGCATCCAGCAGAGCTGCACTCCTGGGCTTTACATAGGAGGCAATGGGCTGCCTGGGACCTGTTCCTAGATCGCTCCCTACCACTGGATCCACAGTGAGTGGACCTCTTAGATCCAAGCCTGTGGCCCACCCCTGTCCAAGGCACACCTGAAGTTGTCCTGGATTTTCAGACCTCAGGTCCCCCCACCAGGCAGTGCCCATAGCTTCAGCTTCCTGGTTCACCCTGGTGGGTGGTGTGGTCTGTTTGTGGCAAGAAAGTTCGTGGCTAGGTGCTCCTCTCAAATGCCCCTTGTGCAGGGTGAGAGACTCTGATGCCCACCTCTGCTCTGGGGAGCAGGCCTGAGGGCTCCTTCGGCAGAATCTTTCTTCTGTGCCCATGAAGTGTGCCCCGTCCAATCTGGCCACACAGGGGTGGACACAATACCACCATCGCTGAAGAGATGGGGGAAACATGAATCCTTCCTCAAACCACTACCACGAGGTGAATGTACTTCCTGACACAGAGCAGTGGGCACTTCCAAAGTAAGGGAAAGGCATGGCATTCATTTGCTTAGTCATTCAGACATGATGAGAACTGGCCGCACGGAGGGCCCTCCCCCGCCCAAAGCCAACGGCCTCCTCCCCCAACCCGGCAGTCCAGCGTCAGTTTGTGTTGGGGGCAGTGTGGTGGAGTAGGGAGGGTCCTGACTAGAAAATGGGGAAGGCACTAATTCACCAGGGCCTCAGTTTCCCAAGCTGTAAAATGGGAGGAGAAATTACCTCTTAGAAGCTGTAACATTCTATGGTCTTGCCTTTATCACTGGGGACCTAGACCTCCTTCAGCCCTAGAAGAAGCGACCTCAGCCACAACTCAGGAGTTTTTCTTTCCAAGATTCGAATGGAAGGCTCAGTAGGGCTGGCCGCTCATGCTATCGCTGAGCTGAGCTTTCAAAGGGGTCTGAGGAGCAAACACTCACTAAGCCGGTAGACAGATGCTATGTCAGTATGAGCAAGCGTGTGGAGGAAGCTGGCACACTCAGCTTTCCTGTCACTTCCCAGGACCCACAGAGAGCATCTTTCCTCGTCACTGAAAAAGGCGGAGCTCTTGTTCCTGCATTGAGACAAAAGACATGGACGCAGATCAGTGCAAGGCTCCAGACACAACCATTCTCTCTCCAGCCCAGGACACAGTGAAGGACAGAGAGAAGCCTCCGATGTGCTTGCCACAGCTGCAACCAGACTCCTCATCCCACTGTTGTACAATCTGTTTATCTCTGCTGCCCAGGGAGAAGAGCTCTGAGCACCCCATTCATGAAGAAACGAGCTATGTGGCTGCTGAACGGGTCACAGTGGGGATGAAAACACCCCTCCTGTTAAAACTCTATCTCCCGAGAAAAACAAAGCCCCTTCTCTTGACCCCTACCCTTTCTTTGAGACCACCTGGTTCCCATTTTTAATAGAGAAATACAAATTGACTGCCCCAAAGGTTAAGGGTTGAAAAGGGACCATGAAAAGATGTTTCTTTGTCGGGTTATTTCAAGAAAACACGAGGGACAGGTGACACAACCTAGAGAAGCAATGAAAAGAGTTTGACTATGATCAGAAGAAACTTTCACAACTGGTGACACCTGATTCCATGGCACAGAATGAGAGCATTATGTGGCATTCAGAGAGGGGATGGGAAGTGGGCAGAAGGAAGGCCAGGGGCTGGAAGAAATGACTGCAAATAATAGAGATCTAGAAGTGCCTCAGAAAACATTCAATCCAAAATTTACCTGAACAATTTTTAAGATCTCTTTCAGGTCTAAATAAAGTTGGGGGGGTGGAGAGTAACCTCAGGAACCAATCTTTTAACAAAAATAACTTGGAAGCCCAAGAGGTTACAATAGCTAATACTTGGAGCGGGGGAGTATGTTATGAATCAGACACCCTTATCTCCTTAATCTACACAATTACCCAATAAGGCAGGTACTATTCTTACTCCTTTTTACAGAGAATGAAACTGAGGCACAGAAAAATAAAGTTGGTAACTAGGAAGTGGTTAAGAAAAAAAAAAGCTTCTCTAGTTCAAGCAGAATTAAAGGAGGGGCGGGGATGGGATTGCCATGGTCTGCCACCTACATTTTGTCCTCATAACTCAGGTAAAGCCAGTGACGAGGAAAGCAGGAACTAATATGAACTACTTAAGATCACACCACTAATTAGTGACAGACCCGGCACGAGAGCTATGTCCTGACATCTGGTCCAGGACTCTTTCCAGGACAGTTATTGAGCCCACATATCTCTGGCCTGACTTCCAGATTCTCCCAGCACCAGCCATCCTCAAAAGAGCATCTAGTTGAAATCTACAACTAAGCTCATCTGAGAGAAGAAATCATTATAGTCATCATATGATTATATAAAATCATTATATGATTTCAAATTTCTGCAGAACATTTAAACTTTACAAAGCATTCCTGAATTTACTATTTCATTTCGTGACATGCTCAGAATGACACAGCTAGCAAGTGGTAAAGCTGAAACAGAAACTGATCTTCCACCTCTGTAGCCCATTTCCTCACAGCTGATCTGCTCATGTCCTGAGTCCCAGGTATGTAGAAAGAATCCAAGTTTGACAAATTACAATAGGGTGTTCCTAGCATGGAAATGGGGTTAGAATGGTAAGACTTCTAGAAATATGGCAGGCTGAGGTGCTCCACAGGAGCCACAAACAGACAAATCCTAGATAAAATGTGACAAGGATAAATATTTTAATACATTCTTTGACTTGAAAGAAAGAAAGGGAAATGCCTGGGAGCCAGAAACAAAAGGAGAAACCAAAGCCGAGTTGGTAAAACAACAGCAGATGGCCTGGGTTGGGGGTGGGGGAGGGTGGTTGCAGTTCTCAGCTGGGACCCTGGCCTCAGAGCTGGGGCTCACCCTGTAATGCCACCCAGGGACAGGACATGGGACTTTGGGTCTATGTGAAGCAGGGAAGCTGAACTGAGCTCCCTACATACCTTTGAGCTCCCTACAGCCTGACGTCAGCAAGAACTGCAGCTTCTGTGAAGAGGAGATGGGAAAACTCACCTACCAACAACACATTTTCCATCTGTCTGCGTCCCCAGAAAAAAAAAATCAAACACCTGGACTTACACCATTAGAAGGTGTGGGCTCTGAATTACACTGTACAGTGTAAGTACAATCAAAGAACTTTACATTAAAAAACCAGCCCTGGACCACTGAGTTCCTAAATTTCCAGGGAAAACAAAGGCCAAAACTGCTCTACTGGGATGTTTTCTTCAGTTGAAGCTTCATGCAAATACTCTTTGAAAGTCAGGGCAGGGCGTCTTTGTTGAAACTTCGGGGCAACCAGGTGGCTCAGTCGGTTAAGCATCCAACTCATGATTTCGGGTAGGTCATGATCTCATGGGTCATGGAATTGAGCCCCGAATCGGGCTCATGCCCAGTAGGGAACCTGCTTGAGTTTCTCTCCCTCTGCCCCTCCTCACACATGCACTCACACACTTGCACGTGCACACACTCTCTCTCTCAAATAAATAAATCTTTTTTAAAAAATTAAAATAAGAAAAAGTAAAATGTTGAAAATCCGTTCACATAACCAAACTACAAACACAAGAAAGGGAACTACTGACAATGAATACCAGCAGGTGCACAAGTAGGTAAATCAACACTACAAGAACTAGAAATAACAACAATCTAAAGATTAACTTATAATAAGCATGGTTAAAATGATGACATGAAAGACTGACTAGAAGCTACAGGGAGAATATGGAACCTGGTGAGCAGAAATAAGTATATGTGGGAAATAGCAAAATAGAAACTCTAGAAATGAAGACAAAGGCATGGACACTTAGAACTACATGAGTGAGTTCAGCAGCAGGTTGAGTCACAGCAGAGGAGAGAATTAGTGAAACTCAGACTGTTTGGAGGAAATCACCCAGAATGCACCTAGAGGGACAAAAAGATGAAAAATATAAAAGAACTGATTAGGCAAGACTGAAGCTAGAATGGCAAGTCCAACATACCTCTGTTAGGAATTCCAGAAGAGAGACTAAAAAGAATGAGAGAGAGGCAAATATTCAAAGGGAGAATGACTGAGAATTTTCCAGAATTGAAGAAAGACATGAGTCTTCAAACTGAAGAAGTACACCACATCCTAAGCAAAATAAATAAAAATAATATCATTTTCAACATGACTTCCATTTCTTTAGGTTTACCCTTCTCTTTGTGTTTTCTATTTCTCCTGATCCTTCTTTTGGGGTTCAGTAATCCATCACTTGACAGTTCAATTTACAGGATGAAAGAGTTAAACAGAAAGGATAAGGGCATAACTCAATGAAATAAAAACAAAGTAGAAGAAAATAATAAAGATAAATATGAAATTAGTGAAATAGAAAACAATGAAACAATAAAGATGGTCAACATAAGAAAAATTGTTTTTCTCTAGGGATTAATGAAATGGACAAAATCCTGGCAAAACAGATATGAAATTTTATACTAATAGTTATTTTCCGCTCCACTTTGAAGGTTATTCTACACTTAGCTAAATTATCATTCACAAGTATATTTTAAGTATATTTAAGACAAACAAGGAGTAAAGACTGAGAGTAGTTAAAACTCACAGATCTCCACTAAAATAACTACTAAAAGATACACAGTGGACATCTTGTGATAAATATGTAACAGAATATATCACATCTAGATATATCATCAGTAAGAACAACTTTTAAAAAAAAGAGAAAAAAAGCCGCCTACCTGCACAGAAATGGCTATGAGGCTAACAGCAAACTTCTTACCAGCAAAAATAGATGCCACAAGAAATGGAATTATCAAGAAGACAGAGATAAACAACATGAAGTAAAAAAAGGGATATAGGAAAAATAGAATTTTTCAAATTTCTAATACTATGAAATGCTGGCTTATCTCCTGTGTTCTTTTTTCTGGTATTGAGTGCATTAATTTTTCAACCTTGCTTATTTTTTAATTTACACATTTAAATATATAAATTTCCTTTAAATAACACTTTACTAAAATGAACCATATCTAACACAATGTGAATAAATCCTAAATTTACCATATCAACTGAAAAAAAGGGGCCAGTTACAGAAAAAAAAACGTGTAGGTACATTTTTAAATACACAAAACTCTTGTGTGTTTTTTTACAAATACCCATTTCTAAAATGTATCAATCAGAATGATGACTGGGAAGATACATACCAGCTTCAACTAGAGTCTGCCCCTGGGGTAAGAATCAGGATCACAGGATCAAAGAAGGAAGGAGTAATGGGGGTCTTCAGTTATATCTAAAGACATTTTTCCCCTCAACACACACACACACACACACACACACACACACAAAGATACACATATCAAATATTTTTTAAAAGCATAAAACTAAAGGAAAGGAAAGGTGTGGCATTCTGTCACCATCAGCAACTCTTAAATCTCTAAAGGCACTCTGGCCAAAACAAATACCATATCTATTCAGACAGAATGCCTGCCCCAAGTTTTAGCTGGTGTTGAAATATGAGCTGTAAATAAGGAAACCCACAACTTTGCTGCCGTGGAAAAAATGGGATCCTTTTCCCATGTGTCAGAGGCACAGACTAAATCTGACTCACAAAACAGCTTCTGAGAAATTTCACTCTCGATATACTGCCGATTTGGTTAAATAAATACAGATGGATGGATGGATGGTTGGATGGATGGATGGATGGATGGATGGATGGATGGATGGATGGATGGATGGATGGATGGACAGATGAACAGGAGGGAAGGTGGCTGGCTGAATGGATGGATGGATGGATGGATGGATGGATGGATGGATGGATGAGTGAATGAATGAATGATTAGTGAATGAATGAATCAATCAATCAATGAATACACTTTAAGGAGAAATATACTAACTAGCACAAGGACAGAGCCTGTGGGAAGAGGATGGAGACCAGCAAATGCAGGACTTTCTTCAGAAGCCTTATACCAAGTGAACACGGACTAAGAGTGACACCCAGTGGCCAGACCTCCTGCACAGCACACAGGATGATTCCCAGGACTCCACACCCTGGCTGTGCTTGTGGCCAGGTGGCTTGTGGGCTTTTTCTCTCATTGCTGTATTTTGGGGAGGTCCATGATCTAGAGAGTGCTGGGGGGGACGCGATGAGCCAGTTCCTCTCTCCCCTCCTTCTTCCACCTCTCCCTGTCTCCTGGCTCACTCTCCCCTTCCCTACGCAATGGGCAGTCTCTGGTGATGGGGTCCCACAGAAGACACTGTAGAAATAAGGAGAAGTTCTCATGCCCCCACTTCGACACAAGGGGTGGTGGTCTTCATGGCGAGAGTGTATCCCCTACAACTAAGCCGGCTAAAATATGATAATCAAATTAATCTAGTGGTATAAGTTACTGCGATTTGGGGCACGGTCTGAGGTACAGAAGTCTGAATATAGTTTATGAAATCTGACACCTGCACCCAATGTCCTATTAAGATTGCCTCTCAAAGATTACCACCCACGGCAGGAACAGCCATAGGAAGAGTTAATGCATATTGATCATACACACAAACACTGTGCCCGACACCATTCTAAGTGCTTTACATGTGTTAGTTCATGTCAACTCCTTACAATCCTATGGGCAAATACTAATGCCGTATGCATTTTACAGATGAGAAACCTGAGGCATACAGAGACCAGCTAACATGCCCAAGGTCGCTAAGCTGGTCAGCTAATGGAGACACACAATGTGCTTCCATGGCCATAAATGCCTTTCAGGCAGTCTGGCTCTGGAAGTCTGATTACTAAGCTACTCTGCCTCCTGATGACCAGGTACCTCCCAATGGCCACTGACCTCTCAATGACCAGTGACCTCCCAGGGGCCAATCCCAAAGGCCTTTCAGCAGGCAGCCCTGCTCTACCTCTCTGCAGTCCGCAACAGTGTTAACTGTCCCCCCACCCAACTCCTTTCCTTCCTCTCATGTGGCTCCTTTGTTCCTTTATCTCCTTTGCTACATTCTTTCTTCCTCTGCTCTGTAAGTTGTTCTTCCTCACCAAATCTCTGTCTCTTTATTCTTTCCCCCTCTTACCAGACATCAGCTGCCGATCTGTATGGCAGAAAAAGAACCCTAGATTTAACATCAGGACTCTGGAGTTCCAGACCCAAGGCCTGGGGCTCAGCCCTTTCACTCCTGGGATCCTCATTTGCCCCTGCGGTAAATGAGGGGGTGCTTTGAGCAGTGGTTCGCCCCTTGGTTGCCCATTAGCCCCACCTGGGGAGCTTTCATAACCATGGCTGCCAGGCCCCGCCCGCACCAATGAGATAGAACCTCTGGAGGCAGAACACGGGCGTCCAGATTTGTGAAGCTCCTGGAATCTCTAAATTCCTGCTGATTGGTCCTCAGCTGTGTCCTTCCTCCCCCCGCCCCCACCCCTTCCCAGGTATCAGCCTTGGTCTTCTCACTGGTGTCCTGCCTCCAGGTTCTCCCCTGTCTTCGCACACCTCACTTAAAGCCAGGATTCCAGTCTCATCATTCGTCACTCTTGCTCAGAGATGCTCAGTGGCTGAGTTGGCATTCTCTGCCATGTCACGGTCCCACTGACTTTTGCCACACCAATGCCCTCCTGGTAACCTGCCTCTCAACCAACACTAGTTATTCCTCACACAGCCCCTCACTTTCCTGCCTGTGATCGCTTTTCCCCATTTCCATCTGTTGAAATACCTTGCATCCTACAAAGTTGAACTCAGATATTGCCTATTTCACGAAAGTTCTCCTGACACCACTTTCCAGCTTATAAACTCCCGTTCACTTCATAATCTTCTAGGGGCTCGGCGATCGCCCTTCCTCCTTTAGAGTCACTTGAGTTCCCACATTTCTGTGTAGGGAAAATGACCTTCTGTCTCCTCCGCCTACAAAGGGCAGGGTTTAAAGGGAGCTTCTGACCGTGATCCACTCTCCTCGGTGGCTCTTTTGTACAAGGGAAGACATTCTAGTCTGCGTGTGCAGCGCCTTGGACAATCCTGGGGCCACATGTTCCCAGTGTCTCTGTGCTAGCAGCCAACTCTGTGTTCCCCCCGGGACTTTCAGGGCCCAGGCTTCGTCCTGTTTCCTATCCCCATGCAGGATGCCCACCCCGGAGAGACGGGGAAGGTGGCCCGCTCCAGGACATCCCAGAAGGCCCCTCTGCCATACTCACATTGGGGAATACGACTCAGGATCTATGCTCCTGGTGGGAACAAAGCCCACTTCTCCTGAGCGTGTTGACTTCCCAATGAACCACTGAAGCCCAGGTATGACAAAGCCGATGATCTCGATGCTTTCTCCCTGGTGAAAATTCAGCTCATCCTTTTCTTCCCTCTCATATTCCTTCCAGGCCTTACATTTTCCTCGACCTGTGGAGAAATAACATCCACGTCAACCAAATAACACAGAAACTGCTCTCGGTGTAATATGAAATGAAGGGTCCCCAGAATTTAGAATTTCGAGGACCAATAACATCATCTCCCCACCCCAGAAAAAGAAATTGGCAGGAATGACACAGGGTAACTGGCTTTTAATTTTGCCAAACTAGGACATTCAAAGAAAGGAACTACCATCCACTTTCACCATCACTTTACAAAAGAAAGGATGTTTTAACAAATGGAGGAAAGATCATCTCAGAATACCTAAAACTGAATAAAGTTCACTCGTGGGAAACTGGAAAGCTTACTATATTGCCTTACTGTGTCTGATTTGCCATTATCATGTAAATACTTCATCATGGTTAGCACAAATCCACAGACCACGGTGAGAAACATTGTGGGATCTCTCCATTTCCTTCCAGATCCTTTGGCTATGACCCTCAGTCTCCCCAACTGTAAAATGGGAATAGTAAAAATACTTGTCTCATAGATATTAGGAAAAGTCAAAGAGATTAAGTGTACCATGCCTCGTACCTAATCACCCTTCAAAAAATGTTAGCCTCCCATTACTGGTAAACAAAAAACTGCTCAGGCCTCAGAGGGATTTGGAAGACTCCCCTTCTGACTAGGGTCATTGCTCAGCTTGTTGAGTCGCCCAGCTAAGATCTAGTAATGACATATTTATGAGCTCTGTGCTGTCCAGTTTACAAAGTACATGTAAGCCTGTTTTCTCAGATCGTTCCAAGAGTCCTAAGGTTAGGTAGAGCAACCAACAGACTCCCCTTTTTGTAGGTTAGAAGGTGGAAGTACGGAGAAGGTCTGTGATTTGTCCAAGGAGCTGGGTTAACCAACTGCTGATTAACCCTTCTTCCCACTAATGCTGCTTTGCTAGAGATAGTGGCTTTTGTGTGTCTTGGTTTCCATGTTTGCTTTAGCTTCTCTGCTACAGCTACTGGCTTTATTTCTCCCCCTGACGTTTTCGATCAAGTTTCTATTGATTGTGTTCTCAAGAGGAGAAATTCCCACCACTTTGTAGGCTAATAGGATCTATAGCGTGTTAAACACTTGCAGTGTGAAAAAACTGTACTGAAAGGAATATATGTTCTAGATACTAGAAAACATTAAAGTTCATTTCCAGTAGATACATATGTACTTACAGATACATGTGTATATGTATGTATATGCACGGGTACCCACAAACATAGAGATTCACATAGAGATTCCCTAAAATATATGCATGTTTACATAATACATACTATTATATACATATTTCATTTATTTATTCAACAAATATTTACTGAGTATTTCCATCATGTGCCAGGCATTCCTACTCTTCCTAAATTCAAGACCAATTTCACAAAAGTTTAAGGGAAATTGAAAACGTTTTGACCCAAGATTGAACACAGGCAACCTGGAGGCCCCATGTGGCCCACGTTGGGCTTTTTAGTCACCTGATATATCATTAAATCCCCATGGTCCCCACCATTCCTTAACCTCTTCCACCCAGGCTCTCATGAATCTGTTTGTTCTGTCTGCCACAGTGAGCATTTGTACCAACAGCCCTGGATTGAGACCTCTCATCTCGAAGGAAGGAAACCCATGTTATAGACAGCAACTGGCTTCTCCATGTCCAGCCAGCAGCAGAGGCTAAGCAGGAATTCACATCAACTGACTCCAAACGTGCAGATAAAATTAGGAGGCAGGGCAGTATTATCTTCCTGACAACACTGTCTTCAACTCAGCCATACCGATCTGATAGGAGCCTGTCCAATCCCTCTTCCTGGAAAGGCCACAGCTTCCTGGATAATTCTTTAGGAACCATCTGCCAATGGAAACATGGGGTTTGCAAACACGATTTCAAAAAATGACAGCAGCGAGCAGAACAGTTCATTAAAATAACAACAATGGTAATGATCATAAGTATCATGGTTAGTACTCCTATTATAACAATGGCAAACATTTATTGAGAACTTACTTTGTATCAGGTGCTGTGAAAAGGAGAGGAGTTCAGCAGGCCTAAGATGTTTTCTGGCTCTAAATTAGTTTGCCAGTTAAATAACTAACAAGGGCTCTCTTTCCAATTCTCACTGTCAGATTCTCTGCCAGGGCGAACCACAGGGTCCACAGCCTGGGATCAGTGTATTGGCACTCTGGATGTTTGAGTTTACAAAAGCTTCAGGCCCAGATTCTCAAACTTAAGTATGGAATACATCCCCTTATATTCAAGGGGAGCTTATATAAAATGCAAATTCCTGAATCTAATCCCAAAAGAGTCTGAGGATGGCCAGGAGAGCTGAACTCGCAATAAATCCCCAGGTGATTCTGATACAAGTGGTCCCCAGTCCCCATATTGAGAAACACTGCATTTGAAGACCAGGCAGTAGGTTTCCTCTTAGGTACAATGTCCATCTGAAATTTTGAGTTGTCTCCGATTTCACCACATTGTGCAAATTTTGACTGTTAAAAAAATAAATAACAAAAGACCAAAAAAAAGCAAAACAAACACACACACACACACACACACACACACACACACACACACACGCCCAGATTTTGTTCCCTCCCTAGCACCGTAGATGTCCATATCTGCAGGCCTATCTACTCTGTTCTGTTCAGATCTCAGTCTGCTCTGGGACCCACGCCCAAGATGCAGTTGGCTACTCACTGGTGGAAAGGGAGCGGCAGAGGTTCCAGAGCTGACAGGGGCACCAGGCCCCGCTGACCCGTCACCAGGGACACGCCCTCCCACTCGGATTCGCCTTCAACTATCTTCACGGAGAGTAACTCCTTCTTGCAAAGCGTCAAATACTCCCCTTCCTTCTCAGCTGGCTGAGCCACGGAGCTCATGGCTCTGCAGAAGAAGTGGCCTGTAGATAATAAGAAAAGCCCCTCCAAGGAGTAGCAGTAGGTGGAAAGGGATTATCACACAATGTAACGTTTCTAACCAGAAGCCCGGCTACTTTTCTTCCTGGGAGTAAAGGACACCGCCAAGGGCGAGGCACCACAGAAAGTCTCTGTGATCCCAGAAAAACTAGACCAGGGTAAAAAAAACCCCGGGGAGGGAATTCACTTGAATTAGACACCATAAGCTCAGAGTAGTTTGTGAGAATAAAGTTTAATTGGGACTTCACCTTGAAAAAAAAAAATGAAACAAAACTTAACAAAAATGTATTTAACAGAACTTGAGTTACAACTGCAACCTTCTGCTTAAACTTAGGGCCAAAACAAAGAATAAATTTAGCTGATATGGGTGAATATAATTTCTCCAACTAGATCTTATAGTAGCACAGTATGAAATTCTTTCCTTCAATTGTGATTTGTGCAACGTGACCATAAACAGAATCCTTTTGCAAAATAGTCTATGCAGATCTGGCTCTTTCAATGTGCCTGTGATGTCATCTGTCATTAACTGGTTGGTTGTAGCCCAGATCCGATCCTTCCTTGTAAATAGTTTGGCCTATGCTCCAAGAAGTTCCCCAATACCATTTGCCTCCATCTCAGGAAATCTTGCAGGTTTTGCAAGATTTGCAATTTTATTTCACAATTAAATGATATCATATATTTAAAAAAGTGATTCTTACTCTTGGATGCATGTTAGAATTGCCTGGGCAACTTTCAAAAAATACCAAAGCCTGGCCCCTATCGCTGGAGATTAAACTGGCCCCGATGGAGCCCTGGCAAGGGCATCTTCCAAAAACTCCCCAAGGGGGCGCCTGGGTGGCTCAGTCGTTAAGCATCTGCCTTCGGCTCAGGTCATGATCCCAGGCTCCTGGGATCGAGCCGCATATCGGGCTCCCTGCTCCACGGGAAGCCTGCTTCTCCCTCTCCCACTCCCCCCTGCTTGTGTTCCCTCTCTCGCTGTGTCTCTCTCTGTCCAATAAAGAAATAAAATCTTTAAAAATAAATAAATAAAATAAAAATTAAATAAATAAATAAAAACTCCCCAAGGGGTTCTCACATCAGACAATCAGTGAGACTGACAAACATAGCTGTTCATGTGATATCAGTGTCGACCTGAGCGAGATGTTTGGAGTAATATTGTAACAGATGGGGTCATTTATGAATATTCTCACCTTTGAACATTTTTTTTGCCTCCCTTTGTATCCTAATTATTTCAGGGGCTCTGATAATAAATATCCAGATAAAAACCCATCCCACCCCCCCTCCATGCTCACCTTCCTGTATCAGGAGTCCCAGGTATATTGTCTCCAGGTGTTTCTCATCCACTGACACTTGGATCTCTGTATCTTCCACCAATCTGCAGTTGAGCCAGTACTTATGGTCAAAGAGGACATGTTCCAGACATGCAGACACATAGCCTAAGAGGTCAAGCCAACATGATTCCTTAACAACATGATTTCTGCCATTAGCTGAGCACAGAAAAGGGTGAGAAAGCTCCTTTCTGAAGTTCCCTCCCAGACCTTCGTCCCCAACCTGATCCCATTTAACTGGAATTAGAAGAACATAGAGAGGTAGCTAGAAAATTTCTAGAGTGAACTGATTCTTCTCAGCATCTGTAGGGAAACACAAGTCATTTTTTAAATGACATTTACTCCTTTCAGCCCATTATGGGTTTCCATAAATGCATAATGAGATGACCAAATCTAATTATCTTTTTCTAATACGTCCATAGAGGAATTTCCGAGATTCCAATTTGGACTCTGGGGGGGTCCTGGTCCCCCCCCTTAAAGTTTTCCTGACTTGAGGTTCAAATGCCTGTACCCTTGATGATGTAGTGGCTGGGGGGGTGTCTGCGACCCACAAAGGAGTTGGGATTCACTTTACCATCCCTTCTCTGATTCTCTCCATCATTCATGCCCAGCATGTTCTCCCTTGTTAAAACCAGACCAGATACTAAGCAAATTGCAATTATGGATAGTATTTCAAACATGCCTACAAATGTGAATTATTTGTGTTAACATTTTGCTTCTTTTGACTTCCTCTTTCTTAAGATGCAAAAACCTGTTTCTTTCCATTCTGACTCTGTTCTATCTACTTAGGCCTCATGTGCTTCTTGTACTTTAAGATGTACACAAATCACCTGGGGATCTTATTAAAATACAGATACTGGTTCAGTAGATCTGGGATGGGGCCTGGGTTTCTACTTTTCTAACAAGATCCGCATGGTGCTGATGCTGCTGGTCCATGGAGCACACTTTGAATTGAAGACGGGTCTCTATAAACAATCGTGGAAGGAGATGCACAGTGTGGTGAGCAGACAATCAACATAACCACGAGAGAAGTTCTACCCTCTAGCCAAGAGCTATCTTGACCCTCCACCCCTACACAGGGTCACTTCCTAGAAAACCCTGCAATCCGAGTCCCCTTTAGCAGATAACTCCCCCATCTCTTTCTTTGACTCTTTTCCAAAAACATGGGCTAAAGTATCCACAACTGTACTATTTTGAGCAGCTACTTTGATCTGACCCAAGACGGGTTTCTTTTTCTTTTTTAAACCATCATTCTGCATCTCTCACAGTCCTTCAAATTTAGTGATCACCCAGAACTGTTTACCAATGGATTGATTATTGAAGAAAGTAGTCTCTCCCTGAAAACAAAGTAATGTTGCACATTGCATTTGAGAGTAATAGTTAATATTCGCTTTAGATTTAGTTCTAAGCAGTTTGTGATATTTCAAAAGTTAACCATCCGTGTCAGGGCTCTACCTCTTTTAATTATCAGAGCCAGGCCAATTCCCTAATGTCAAGCCCTTACAAATTGGCTGAACCAAGATGTAGGTTCTCCTCCACCCACTTGCTCCATGTCATACCTAAGTTCAAGTAGGTGGAAAACTTCCAGATTTCCTCCATGGTCTTGAAGGTGATGAGGAACTGAGCCTTCTGGGACTGGATGCCCACCAACCTGGCTGAGAGGTCCTGGGTAAAGAGAACAGTGAGTCAGCCTGGGATGACCGCATCCTGTTAATAATCTCAGAGAAGTGCAAAATGCTTCATGTGATTTTCTTGATTGTAGCGCTGGGTTTTTTTACACCACAAAAAAAAAAAATAGAAAAAGAAATAAAAGGAAATAACCTAAATGTCCATCAATGGGAGACTGGTTAAAATGAATTCTGATTCATCCGTGCAATAGAATATTATGATATTATGCATCCATAAAAAAGAATGAGGAAATTCTTTGTGCACTGATACAGCCTTCAAATATACACTGCTAGATGTATAGCAGCAACAGAAAGGAACCAGGATGCAGAACTGTGTGCAAAGAACGCTACTTTTCGTGTGTGTTTTTTTTTTAAAGGTGTATGAGGGAAGCGGAAGGGTAAATAAGAGAAGGCACATTGGAAGCAAGAATCTATGTCTAATGATTATTTTTATAAAGCTGACAAACAGTAAAAGCAAATTACACAAAAACAAAAACCATCCATAGTCCCTCCTCCTAGAGCTCATCGGTGTTAACACTTTAGTGTATTAACTTTGAATCCTTTTTCCTATGCAGGAGTTTCCATGTAACTGTTTTTATATAAATAGAATCACATGACATAAATTGTTCTATAATCTTTTGAAACTAAACAATATTTCGGGAACCATCTCCCACGTCATTAAACAATTTACATTATTTTCAACAGTTACACATGTCACTATTACACTAACGTAATCCTTAGTTAGTATTTCCTATGGTTAGACGATTGAGTTATTTTCATTTACCATACTAAACAGTACTGTGATAAACGCCCTCAATCTTTGTACACATCTTCGATTGTTTTGACACAAATAATTCTGAGAAGGGCAGTTGGGAATGCAGATATCTACATTTCCAGTCCTAAAATGCAGGAGCCATACTGCCCTCGGGAAAGGCTGGGTGGTGCCAATTTGCATTGCTCCCCCCGCTCCCTTTTTTTAATACCTGAGAAAATAGGCCTGACCTACTGTACAGACTTGGTTTTCCCCTAAAATCTTTCTCTGTTGCTTGTCCAAGCTGCTAGAGTTGACTACAATGAGTGATGGTGAGAACATCCTTCCTCCCCCCAGGCCAGGTGCTGCGATCAAAGATCGAGCCCTGGAACGCTGCTCTGGGGGAACCCTGTGGAAAGAAGAGGAGAGAAAGAGAGGAAGGAAGAGAGGAAGAGCCCTTAGGTCAGCAAAGCCATAACTCCGGGGCTCTCCCATACCAGGCCCCAGGAGTCCCCAGAGCCTATTATCAGGGAAGGGGTTCTAGATAAAAACCGATTTCCAGGAGATTCATCAATTGACAGGCACTTCACCAATCTATGAACAATGCTTCATTTAACTCACAATAACCCTATGCAGAGAGTACAATTACACTATTTAATCCATTCTAAGATGCACTTTTACCACATTTAATTATTTCTGAAATAAAAGATAAGGAAGCATGGCATCCTACTTAATTGGCAGCATTTATTTCCCTTTCTTTGAGGTATATAAAATATTGCTGCATTTTATAATCAAACGGCATCTCAGCGTTAATAGAAAATGGCATTATCCATGTGTTAGAGTCAAGGAGGACCAGGCACGGACAGGTTAAGCAATTTGCCCCGGGTCACCCTGAGCGTAGGCAACGGCCCCACTGACTGGAGCCTAGATCCAGCTGACTCCAGGTCTCTGCTCCCACACACAAGCTGGCCCGGCTCAACCCTCAGCCCAGCAGACTACCTGGTTCAATCAAACCCAGCTCCTGTCCACGCCAAAAGTGCCTCAAATTTTAAAAAATGATGGTGCTAGTTAGCAGCTCATGCCTCCAAGTTTTTGAATTTTGGAAATTAAAAAAAACCCTACTATTTATAATTTATCTGCTATTTAGGAAGAACATGCCACCACCCAAAGTGCCAACCGACTTCTCCCAACAAACCAGTCTTTTTTTTTTACATGACAGATTAATAGAACACATTTCCCTTTTTAATTTGTATCAAATTAATTCAGAGACTGTAAAAATAACTAGAACATAATAGTTTATTACATGAAGTAATATTCTTTTTCTCCCCTCCAGTTGCAACAACTTTTAACCATTTCTGACTTTGGTTCTCCTCCTAAGGGGACACCTGGGTGGCTCAGTCAGTTATGCATCTGCCTTCAGCTGGGGTTGTGATCCCAGGGTCCTGGGATAGAGCCCTGCGTCAGGCTCCCTGCTTGGCAGGGAGCCTCTTTCTCCCTCTCCCTCTACCCGCCGCTCCTCCTGCTTGTGTTCCCTCTGTCAGATAAACGGATAAGTTCTTAAAAAAAAAAAAAAAAAGAATCTCTCCTAAACTGTAAATAATTTGTTCTTACCCTTCTTCCTTGGTTTAACAACTGAAGATACTAGCTACCCACTATGAAAGGAGGAACTGGTTTATTTACTTGATTGCCTTTTACTCCTCTCATTCTAAAATTTATAGTTATTAATTTTTGATTGGCAATTTGGGTACTTAAAAAAAAGTATACCTAGTGGTTACCAGTGGTGAGGGAAGGGGATGGGAGGGGCTTATTGTATAATAGATACAGAGTTTCAGTTTGGGATGATGAAAAAGTTCTGGAATGGATAGTGGTGATGGGTGAATAACAATGTGAGTGTATTGATGCCACTGAATTGTACACTGAAAATAATTAACGTTGAAAATTTATGTTACGTCTATTTTATCACAATGAAAAAAACAACAAAATTCCAATTTACCACATTTTTTAAGCTATACTTCATGAGGTAAATAATCATAACAATTCTCATCCTACACAGGTGAGTCGCTTGTAGAAGGTCAAACAGCGATGAGTGGCAGATTCGACACCGTTTTTTCTCTGACTCTGCAACTCAGAGTTTGCCCCATTCCGAGTTGTGCCTATTCTTGCTGAGCAGCAAATGTGTACATTTTCATCATTCTTTCCTTCCTTCAGCTGTTAATCTTGAGGGCCTACTTTGTTCCCGGCGCTGTCCTAGGTGCTGGCGAGCCATGCAGCGGCCGGACAGAAGGCAGGCTCAGAACTGCACCGGGCCACCCCAGCTCACCTGAAACAGGGCACGCACCTCCGGGTCCTCATTCTCCAGGGCCCAGAGCCGCCTCCTGGCCGCTTCCTGCAGGAGGCCGTTTACGCATCTCCGGGAGCGGCTCTTCACACTGAAGGAGAGCGTCAGATCTTAAAGAGAACACAGAGAGAAATGCAATCAGGTCAGGCTGGAAATGGAACAAAAGAGAAAAAAGAATTAGGTGAACCCCAATGTTTCCCACACCTAAATCTTAAATTAGTGTCCTCATTAATTAGAGATTATAAGTAATCTTAACGATCTCCTGAGTACCTCCTTTAAAATGTCCCCCAAGAGAAAAAAAGAAAGAAAGAAAAGGCTGAAGCCTGGGAGTGTTCCAGAATCCCAGGAGTTGCTGTTGTTATTTCTGCTTTGAACAAGGTATGTTCCTAGGCTTCCTGGCACCGAGGTGACAGTGCCAACAAGAAGAACTAGACATATATATCTTCCTGTGGATGATTTGTGAAAGTTTTGAACAAATACTAATTTATCCATATATATGGAAATTATTTATATGTCAAATTTACGATATGTAATAGTCTATACTTTATGCATTATGCATACACCATACATTTTCTCTCAACTGTTTCTAATAATGAGTTTATTAATGTTTGCCAGGGCAGTTGCTTAATGTATTAAAGTCTATCTTTAATTTCTTCAAAATGCACATTTATTGCACCAATACTATGAGCAAAAGCTGTTTCAGGTGCTGGGATACAGCAGGAGACAAAATAGAGGTGGTCCCTGTTCTCATGGAGCTTGTATTCTCTGCAAGTAATCAATTCTATGAACATAATAATTTCGGATGGAGAAAAGTGCTAAGAAAGCAGTGTAATTGGGTTAACAGACAGCATGATGGAGCAGTGCAAGGCTCAGGGGTATGCCTTTGGACAGTATTGTTGGAAAAGGCCACCCTGAGGAGGTTCATCTTACAATTGCACTTTGCCATGTCTTCTTTAGACAATAAGTAGCTATCGCGTTAATAATTATCAAATACAATGAACCAAACAGGCATTGGACTGGATAATCATGGAGGTCTCTCTTCTAGCCCTAACTTGCCAGGGACTTTGCCAATCCCTGAGCCCGTTAAAGACAGCCCCTCTCCTGCTGGGCCGTGGTAACACAAGGCAGCCTGGACTCCCACATTTAAAAGGCCCCTTTTTAACCAAGAAGTCCTGAAAATGCTGTGGCTTCTGGCCAGCTGCAATAGGACATACCCCACCGACCTGACATGGGTGTGAACTGCGGGCAGATGTTTGTTCCACTCTCTTCTTCCATGGCCTGTGTTCTAACCTCAGCCAAGCCCCCCATCTTCAGCTGTCCGACCCAGCCCTCTGTCTGGTAGCCTCAGCAATCAGCACACTGACCTCTAGGAGGAGGTGAAGCCCAGGGAGGCGGAGTCACACAGACCTGGGCTCAAGGCTTGGCTCTGCCCTCACTCACTGTGCCATGCTGAGCAGTTAATGACCTCTCTACACTTGACTTTTCTCATTAGCAAAATGAGAATAGTACCTATTTCACGGCGCTTTTAAGAGGCTTACAAATGAGATTATGCATTTAAACCTTTTTGTTCGGTGCCTCCTACACAATAAATATTCAATTAACACATGAAGCATTAGCTGTTAACTCTACTGCTCCCTCTGCCCTCATCTTGTCACACTTGTAATCAACCTTGACTCTGACTGGTTCTATTTCTCCTTTTCACCAAACCCATCTCTCCTGTCCTTCCAAAGCCTGATCCAAACTCCCTTCTAGAATCTCTCACAATAGCCCCCAATGAATGACAGCCCCTTCGGTGTGGCTCTCCTTGTCCAGCATATGAATCCTTGGATCTGTCACTCAAAAGACCTGGATTTAAATAAGCAAACTGCTTTTGAGAACTCAACAGTTAAGAGCTGACACTCAAGAGCCTCCTGTCTGGACCCCACTGTGAGATCCTACCGTGCCCTCAGCAGACCAGATGAGGGAATAAATCAAGCTCAATCCAGTGTTAGTATGAAATACACTCTGTCATTTTTTTCTAAGTCCTTCTGAAAACCGGTCATTTAATCATGCTAATGTATCTGATTGATTTTGTTGGTGACTCTTCTGCATAAAGGAGAGATTGGAGGCTGGGGTGGAATGTTCCCTTCTCACTCAGTGACTTTCCTGGAAACAGTTCATCATGGTGGAAAATGCTAAAAGACAGACAAGTTCAGCCCCTCCTTTGTTCATTGGCCTTCATGCACTGATAAGGCAAAATGCTGACTGCACTGCATTCAAGAAACAACAGGTGGCGAGTCACCTTTTGTAGAGGACAGCCCAAGCTAACAGACAAAGAAGCAGACTGATACAAGAACAAGAAAGGGCAAGATTTTTCTCACGGCCAGCCCAGCAGTTTGACCGAATCTGAAAATAGGAAAAGAAAGAACCTGGTATGACATGTAAACACCATCCATTTACCTGGTCTATGTCCTTTGAACCATTCTTAATGTAAATCTTTTTCACAAATCTATTGTTTGTCTGCCCGAGAGAAGTATATATTTGGAGGGGCAATGAAGCATCGTGGCTATGAACAAGGATGGGGGTTTGAACCCCTGTCTCATCACAGACTAGCTGTGTGGCAGTGGGGAGGCTGCCTTCCTCTCTGAGACTCTGCCACCTTTGAAATGGGGAGTTTGATGGCACCTCCTAGAGGTGCACACGTGAGAATGAGAGGCGATCATTTAGCACCTGCTTGGCACACGATTTGTCCCCCAAAATGGTCCCTGTTACTATACGACAGACCCTGGGTCTTCTGCGGGTTAATCCCCAGAGCTTCTGGTACAAAGTCCAGCCCAGGTACACCACCCTCTGCTGCCAACGTCTCGCCAGCTCCGTCGAGGTCTCTTACCGGGAACCTTGTGAAAGTTGTGTCTTGAGAATGGGATTTCTTTCATGTTAATTTCAAAATCTTGTTCTGCTTCTGAAAGATTCATACAGGTGCTCTTCTGCTTGGCCCATCTCACCCCACATATTCAACCCTTTATTCACTTATGCATTTACTTAACAAGTGATTATTGAGAACCTGCTATGTATAAGGTACTGTAGAGAGAATACGAACATGACCTCCACATATTTATTCAACAATTTGTGTATTTATTTACCAAACATTTTCTGAAAAACCAGCCATGCACAAATAAATCTTTAAGATACCATGTAGAATAAATACATAAGTCTTCCAAAAAATTACCTCTGCCCTCCAGGACCTTAATATTTAATTGATGATATACTTTCTTCAGTAGAGCAAATATATATGGAGCTCCTAATATGTGCCAGATTGTGAAGGGCTTTGAGTGGTCACCTGAGAAGCTTTAACTTAATCTTGCAAGCAATGGAGAGCGTTGGAAGATTTGTAAGCAAGTGAATACCACATTCAAGGTCATACCTACAAAGATGGTGGTGCCTAGAAAGGATAAAAGGAAAGGAGCCTGCAGATGGGAGAGATAGGGAGGATATTGTGGTATTCTACATGAAAAATACTTTAAAAAATAGGGCTTCTCTTTGGGGTTTAGATACCTGGAGTCATGTTCTGTGGCAGGAAACATCTTTCCTTGTCTTCAGATGAGACTATAAACTCACTTGATATGGCTGGATCCTTGGAAGGAGTTTCTTTACCTGGAGGAGATCAAATGAAAGATCATTTGTATGAGTGTAAGCGAGATATAAGCATGGACTGCAAGTCGCTGTCAAGTGACAATTTTTTCTCCAGGGCAGGTGGCATGGAAGAATTCTCCCTGCTATCACCAATTGCTTAATAATTATTTTGTACTCAACTGTTATCAAAGACCTGTCATACCTGCTATCTCAATTCTGCAGTAGCCTGAGGATCCCTGTTTTATTTAAAATAAATAAATAAGACAGAGTCCCACTCACGGGTCAGACTGAGTCCCACGGCTGAGGACACTGAAAATGCTCAATATACGTTGAACCTAAAATGTCATTATAAATCTGCCTGCAGCAAGGTTTAAGGTCAGTGGGTAGATAACGGAAGTGCTGGAGTAGAGCAAGGGAGGGTGGCATCACTAGGGAGATGGCTGGTCATGCTTGTAATGGACTTGAAACATACTGATGGTCACCAGACTGTTTGCCCCTAAGAGTCCTGTGTGGGACTTCTCCTCAGATCTCCAAAACGTTCCTGTCTTTGCCACGGTCGAACTGTAGTGAAAGGAGAAGAAAGAAGATCATGACACGAGCTAGGCTTAAGGAGGAGGCTATTTTGGGCGCCTGGGTGGCTCAGTTGGTTAAACGACTGCCTTCGGCTCAGGTCATGATCCTGGAGTCCCGGGATCGAGTCCCGCATCGGGCTTCCTGCTCAGCAGGGAGTCTGCTACTCCCTCTGACCCTCTTCCCTCTCGTGCTTTCTATCTCTCATTCTCTCTCTCTCAAATAAATAAATAAAATCTTAAAAAAAAAAGGAGGAGGCTATTTTGATGGCAGACAGTTGAAAAGAGAAGAGAAGAAGCTGTAAAGCACGAGGCAGTGGATATAAAAGAATAGAAGGAAATTTCACAAGCATCACTATGAAATGTGGGCCTCCCTCGTGGTATCCCCAAAATACAACAAGAGAACTCAAGTCCGTAACACATTACTTTTGGTTAGTCTGTTCCTTTGACCATGGAACTGTTCAAGGACTATACCATGGGGTCAGAATACTATAAGCACTGCCTGGGCCTGGAAAGAGGGGTTAAGAATCTTGGCTCAATCACTGTTTGCAAGTCCTTCACTTAATTCTCCCAGGTTCTTCAATTGTAAAATTAGGCTAGATCAGAGTTAAACAGACCAACCCATTTTGTATTGTGGACCTGTTCTTCTACTGAGGCAGCCCAAGAGGGATAGGGACCAGCCATCACACTCCATCCACTCACTGTTGATGAATGCTGACCCCAAATCCTCACATGGCTGCCCAGATGTCTGTGCCTCCCCTCCCTGCTCCATGCCTACACAGTGAGATTATGAGTCCCAAATGGAGGACATTCCATTTCTTCATAGCAGGAGCAGTTAGCACTTTTTGGGGTGATGCATAGGGAGAATGAAGTGGATTTGGGTTTGAATAGGCAGAAGGAGGGGCCCATCAGCTCACAGCTCATCATCCAGTCTTGTTAGAGGTTCGGTGTTGAAAGCAGCTTAGCTGAAGCTGGCAGTAATGAGCTATGGATGAACTGGATCATTTTGTACTTCTGCCCCCAGGAACCAAAGGCAACTGTAGCAAAAGGACACTGGCTTGGGAATCATGAGATAAGAGGTTGAGCACACATCAGATTCTCCCATACATTAGTTAATGACCTTGGGCAAGGCATTCCATCCTTGCCTTTTCTGAAGTTTCACTTTTCCCACTCACAAATGACAGATAAATCTAAGTTAGTGGTTCTCAACTCTGCCTATTTGAATCACTCAGATTGCTTTTCAAAAATAGCAGTGCCTAGGCCCCATCTCCAGAAATGCTGATTTATGTGGTTCTTAGTGAAGCCCAGCCATAGAAATTCTTTTAAGTTCCCCAAACGATTCTAATTTGAGCCAGTGTTGGGAACCCTACATCTAGACCGGTGCTTCTCAAACTTTCCTGTGTGTATGAATGGCCTGAGGATACTGAAAAAATTTAGATTCTGCCTCAGTAGGTTGAAAGCCTAAGGTTCTGCATGTCTAATGTGCTCTGGGTTGGTGGGGGGGGGCTCCGGCTGGTCCTAGGATCACACTTGGAGTGGCTGCCTCCTTCCTTACTCTACGACAGTTTGAAAACTGATAGGCTAGAGGCCAGAGTCCATCATAAACCCACAAACATCATTTTTCTTTCTTTTTTTTTTTGTTCTTTTTTGTTATTCTTTTTTTTCTTTTCCCCAGCAGTGAATTTTTAAAGTTCGAATTTTACATAACCAGATGTTTGGCTTCGCTTTGAAAACGGGAAGATCTGTACTTCGGGGCCCTTATTCTCATGTGGCCACAGTCGGCTGGGGCCAAGCGTTTGCTGCCCCTCTGCGGCCTTCCTTCTCTGTCCACCATAGTCTGCACACCATCAAATTTACTCATTCACATCCAGCCCCCGCAAGCTTCGAGAGTGCGTCCCTATCGCAACACTGCATGGAAAGAAACAACCGCCTAAGGATGGTGAATGCCCACCAGGTAAGCCCACCTTGAAGAAAGACATTCACGGCCACCCTGCTTTGAGGGAGAGGGCAGGGCACAAAGCTCTGAAAAGATGTGTGAGGTTTAGAGCAGAAAATTACAATGTTTGCAAGTCCCTCACTTAATTATAAAGTCCACTTAATTATACGTCCTTAAAAAAGGACGTAATTTATAGACTGCATCAGAGTTACCTAGGTGCTGCTTTTTAAAAGGTTGTCTGTCCTAGCCAACTTGTAGAAAAATAGAGAAGAGGGGCGCCTGGGTGGCTCAGTCGGTGAAGCATCTGCCTTCTGCTCAGGTCATGATCCCAGGGTCCTGGGATCAAGTCCCGCATCAGGCTCCCTGCTCAGTGGGAAGCCTGCTTCTCTGCCATTCCCCCTGCTTGTGCTCTCTCTCTCTCTCTCACACACAAATAAATAAATGAAATCTTTAAAATAAAAAAAAAGGAAAGAAAAATAGAGAAGAATATCTGCATGACTTGAAGTAGCCAGTTATTTCCTAAACTGGATGGAAAAGTGCTACCCACACACGAAAAAAATAATAATGGATAAAATAGGAACTTTCGTTAATCAAAAGATGCAATTAAGAGAGTGAAAAGTAAGTGATGGAGTAGAAGAAAATATAAAGAATGTACAGAATGTAAAGAATTCAAATCCAGAATATATAAAGAATGCTATGCATCTTTCAGAAACAAGTAGGCAACCCACTAGAAAAATGGATAAAAGGCATGAATAAGCACTTATCAAAGCAATATCCAAATGGCCAATAAATTTATGAAAATTTTCTCAAACTCATCAGGTACATGAAAATTAAAACCACAGTGGAACACCTCCACACAGACTGGCTAAAATAAAAAAGACAGATAAAGCCAAGTGTTCATAAGGATACAAAGCAACTGGAACTCCCATCCCATATACTGAAAGTGTGAGAATAAGCCTTGAAAATTTTTACTTTGGAAAAACTGTTTGACATATCAGTTCAAGCTGAATATATGCCTACAGTAAGATTCAGCAATTCCGTTCCTAGGCATATACTCAAAAGAATACATAGATGTGTTCACCAAAATACAACACCGAAAACCTGACAACAAGCCAAATGTCCATCTACACAAGATGGGATAAGTAAGTGATAGTATATACAATTAAGTACAATAAAGCAATAAGAATAAATGAAAGACAACCCCAGGAAGCAGTATAGATGGGTATGTTCACCTTGTGAAAATTCACTAAGCTGTACACATGTAATTTTGTGTGTAGTTCTGTATAAATGGTAAATTTTGATAGAAGAAAAATCCGGAATTATTCCTTGAGCCATTCTCTACCTACATCACATCCAAATATCTAGGGGTAGAGTCTGGAGATGTGCATTTTCAATTAGTATCTTGAGGATTTCTCTTGTACTCTAAAGTATGAGAATCTCTGGAGTAGAGAGAGCCTATTCACCAGCTGCCTGGGGACCCATGAGCCAGAAGACAACCATTTGAGACACAATAAGGAATCTGGAAAATTTGGGTGAGCCACATAATAGGAAGAGCAGTTAATAGCTGCACAGGGATTCATAGTTCACAGAACTCTTTTGCACATGGATTGTATTTCAACATGAAAGAATGAAGACTTAGCTGGGCCTTAAAAAAACGGACTAGAGACAAATCAAGGCAACAAAAAGCTATCATATGGAATGAAATATGTTTTAAAAAAAGTATGATTTCTTTAATGACTGAAAGGAAATAGACCAGAAGGTTCATAGTGGCTAGTGCTGAATCATTTTTCATCATCTTTTTGTCTACTTTTGTCCACTTTCCAAATATCCTGTAATAGACACACATTTGTTTCCTAACACTGAAGGCAGGTAGAGAAGTGGCTAAGAACAAAGACTGCAATTAGACAGTCCCAGACTCAACGCTGAGTTTCTTCATTAGTCAGATGAGCCTTGTAAACCCAGTCCATGTAGTTAAGGTGGGGATGACTCCGTCCCTAGCTCCAAAAGTGGGCAGCAGACTCAAGCATAAGCCAATCATGTTATGTTATGCCATGGCCGCATAACCAAGGTGAAGCCAATGAGAACTAGTCGTAGGACCCTCATCAGCACTCTGCAGGAAGAGATTTCTTTCCATTGCACTAGGAGTTGTGACCATGACAGCCTGCAACGGGGGGACCTACCACAGGGTGGGGGTCTGCCTGAGGTTGAGGCCAACCCAACAAAAGTTTAGGAGTTTAGGAAAGATAACTTTCTGATAACATCATTTGAATATCTTGATCCAGCCATACGTAAAGCATACAACTCCTGGACTTTTCATTTATGAATCAATAAATTACTTTTGGTATAAGCTAGTATCATTTTTGTTATTATTATGGGTGAGAAAAAGTTACTAATTAAAAAAAATTGAGATTTATTTAAAAACTGCCAAACTGGGCGCCTGGGTGGCTCAGTTGGTTAAACGACTGCCTTCGGCTCAGGTCATGATCCTGGAGTCCCGGGATCGAGTCCCGCATCGGGCTCCCTGCTCGGCAGGGAGTCTGCTTCTCCCTCTGACCCTCTTCCCTCTCGTGCTCTCTATCTCTCATTCTCTCTCTCTCAAATAAATAAATAAAATCTTTAAAAAATAAATAAATAAAAAAATAAAAACTGCCAAACTGCTTTCCAAAGCAGCTATAACGTTTTGCATTCCCATCAGCCATGTAAAGAGAGTTCTGGTTTCCAGTTGCTCCATATCCCCACCAACCTCTGATATTATCAGACTTTTTAATTTTAGCCATTCTATAGGTGTGTAGTTTTATCTCACTGTTTCAACTGACATTTCGTTAATAACTAATGATGTTGAGCATTTTTTATGTGCTTATTTGCCAGACATACGTTTTCTGAATGAAAGTGTCTTTACAAACTTTTTGTTCCATTTAATTAGGTTATTTACCTTCTCATTACTGAGTTATAAGGGTGAGATTTTTTAAAGATTTTATTTATTTGTCAGAGAGAGAGCAAGTGGCAGGCAGAGCTGCAAGAGGGAGAAGCAGACTCCCCGCTGAGCAAGGAGCCTGATGTGGGACTCGATCCAAGGACCCTGGGATCATGACTTGAGCCGAAGGAGGATGCCTCACTAACTGAGCCACCCAGATGTCCCAGGGTGGTTTTGTTTGTTTGTTTGTTTGTTTTTGTTTTTTTAATGTTCTGGATACAAGCATCAGATATGTGGTTTTCGTGTATTATCCCTGAGTCTGTGGCTTCTTTTCCACTTTCTTGGTAGATTTATATGGGGGGAGGGAGGGAGGGGAGCGAAATTACTGGCAAAGAGATCAGCAAGATAAGGGGGAATGAACTTTGCATACACAGAGACAGCAGAAGCCAGGCTGTACGTACCAGAGAGGACAGTGATCATGGGGCTAAAATTGATAAATACGGTAGAGTCAGGATAGGGACCGCATTTCAAGGCAAGCAGAGGAATTTAGAATAGATACAGCAAGCAATAGGGAGGCATGAAGCATTCTCGAGCATGGGAATGGCCTAATAACAATGGAAATTCTACCTGGGGTGGCACAAGAAGGACAGGGGAGAAGAAAAGACGAGAGGCAGGGAGGCCAGCCAAAAAGCTGTCCGGCAATCCAGGAGTATAAGCGTGAGACTGTGCGCTGTGATTTTGGCAAATGGGCAGTGAGGGAATATCGTGAATGACTTGGTATTTTAAAGTTAGAAGAGAGAAAGCATCTTGACATATTGAGTATGAGGGATAAAAATAAGGAAGAGGCGATAATTACAGCAAATGAATAGATAGAAGGGATTTAAGAGATCATTTCGTTTCTACTCCCCGTTTTACTTGGAAGAAACAAAGGAGAAGTGGTTCTACCAAGGTCACATAGCACGTTCCGCGACAGAGTCAGAGGCCCCCCGGACCCCTGGGGGCAGACTGTGCTGCCTCCATGACGTTACCCTGACCTCAGACCTCTGAGGTCCGCAGGCTCTAATCTGGAAACAGCTCACTCTCAGCGACTTGTCGGACATGAGCTCTCTCCTCTCTCAGTCTGTCCTTCCTCCGACCTTCCACCCCAACTTTAAGAAGAAAACTTGAAGAAGTGTTTCCCCGCGTGCTTTTTTTCTCCACCTACATATTTTTTTTTCCTTCTTTGACCTGAAGGTCACACCACCAGCAAGTTTTAAGATGGAAACCTACACTTGTTAGGACAGATGTTAAATCATAGCCACGGCTCCATCTCCAATCATCAGGTGGAGGGAGGGGGGGGAAGCAAGTTGCATAACGCTACCATTTTGTTTCAGCATCAAAATCTTCAGAAAAAAAATTCTTTGCAATGATTAGGAGCACAGGAACATGCAATAAAAGCACAAAATCACTGAATTCATGAAAGTCATTAACTCTGGGGAGGAAAGGAGGAAGGTAAACGAGACTGGGGAGAACTACAGGGGGACCCTCCTTGCACCTGCAACGCTTTATTTTTCTTTAAGAGAATGAAATAAAGATATTCTGAAACAGACGTGGTAGAATGTAGAAATGTGCTAGAGCTAGATGGTGGGTTTATTGTTCTGAAATTCTCTATTATCAGTAAGTTCAAAATGCCTCGCAAGCTTTCTAAAGTTCAAATATGAGGCATCGTTCACTATTGCCAGCATTCTCCCTCGATTTCCTATTATTATACTCATGATTCACATTTACCAAAAATGTTGAAAGTTAAAAACACCCGCGATCGATATAGGCAAATGTTCTCTCTCACAGCCCCTGTTTAAAAGTGTCAGTCTGCCAAATTTCCTCAAGAAAGTGTTGATGATAACGGGGCAGTGCTAGAAGTTTTTTTTAGGTCAATGAGCTTTGACATGACTTACTCTGCAATCCTCAGTGAGCAACTATAATTTATTAAATAGCAGCAAGCATCTCCAAGGGTCCAGGAAGACAGACATGAGGGCAATTGACCAGAACCAGTACCTCTCACCATGTGCAGTCGGGAGACTTATGTGAGCAAATGAGAAATATTATGGAACAGATGCTGCAGGCAGGGCCCATGTGTGAAAATGCAGGTCACCTGGGGTGGCCAGAGCCAACATTCGTCATTGTGTGACACTGTGGCAAACCAGCTAGGCATCCGTCCAGGGCTCAGTGCTACTGACAGCCTTCCCCTTTCCTGCCTCTCTTACCCCTGAGGACTGCTGGTCCTCCCTGTTGACTCCCCCTTAAACAGTTGTAATGGCAGAAGCAGCCAGAAACAGGAGCACAGTGAGGCCAAGAATTAGGAAGAAGGGTTACGGGAATAGTCTTTACTAGGGAACAATAAAACAACCCATAATTACTGAGGGATTATCAGAAGCCAGACCCTGTGCTAAATCCATGAGATGAATTATCTGATGTAATCCTCACCCAAAACTCCATTGATAGAGAGTACCATTAGATCCAGTTTACAGACAGGAAAACTGAGGTTCGAAGAATATAAGAGGTTTGCCCAAAGTCACAGAACTATGGAGTCCCTCCAGGATATGTCTCGTACTTTGTTCCATTTCTCTAGGATAAATAGGGTTGCCTAACAAGGGATGTTTGTATCAACGGTCCTCGAACCTACGACACCCATATCATCCTCCCTAGGGAAAGGCGCTGACAAGCACAGAAAACAGTTTGGGGAAGTATCAACGGTCCTCAAACCTACGACACCCATATCATCCTCCCTAGGGAAAGGCGCTGACAAGCACAGAAAACAGTTTGGGGAAATAGCATGAAAAGCCTCGATAAAGGAAATGGCAAGTTGATTCAGAGAAATAGTGGATTCAGGATGCCAACCACTTATCGATGCCCCAAATCAGGTGAAACAATAAAATCACTGGATGATAAGAACTTTGAGGATGCTTTCTTCAGTGTTGCTTGGTTGGCTGGTTGGGTTGGAGCCACAGAACTCTTGTACATGAAATCTTGGGCTGAGGACAGGATGTCAGACAGAAGCAGAGCTGCTCTAGCTGTGGCTGGGGGTCAGAAAGCAGGAGCAGAGCTCCCTAGGGCACCTCTGCTGGCCAAGCTTACAATCCCTCATTTTATAGATGAGCAAACAAAGGCCTAAAGAGAGAGCTTGATAAGCTAGGGTCATAGAAATGTAATTAATATGGCTGACATTTCTTGTGCTTAATTAACTGTGTGCCAGGTCATTTTAAGTGTGAAACTTAATCCCTACCACAACTCTATGAGCAATGCATAATTATATCACAAATCTGATGGAGGAACTGAAACAGAGAGGGTAAGTAAATTGCTCAAGTTAAGTCAAAGAACCAAGATCAAGCCAGACACTTTGCCCTCAAAGACCAGGTGATTCACCATGATGATGCCTGCCCAAGTGAGGGTAGACTGAGTTGGATCTAGAACCCAGGTCCCTGGCTGGTAGACCAGTGGTCCTTCATGTTCCCGCACACTCCATTCAGCATCTGCTCCCGTAGGGTACAACGGCAACACGATTTAGGGAAAGGGTCTGAAAAGTATCTAAATCTTAGAAATCTGGAGACACAAAATGTTTTCATAGCTAAAGGTTGTGCCTTGTGTAGTTGGCTCCATAGCTCAGGGGTTAGAGCACTGGTCTTGTAAAGGTTGTGCCTTTTGTGCCAAGGGCATCATTTGCGAATCTGTTTGCCTTGGCTAGGGGTTCTCCGGAGTTCCCCTTCCAAGGAACCACCTGGAACTCCAGGAAGACATGGAATCCTAACAAGGGTTGGGAAATGATTCCTTGGCATGGTGCTCTCTTATCTCCCAAGCAAGTCCTCCCTGACTCTGCCACCTTCCCTCAAAGCCGTCACACATCCTGATAAATGCCCTGCTCCAGATGGCAGGGCCCCACCTCGGTCCTGCTCTGAAAAGAAGCAAGGAGCTTGCATTAGGGTGACTAACCACCCTGGTTGCCCGGGACTCTTCTGGTTTTAGCACTGACTGCATCCTGAGAAAGTCTTCAGGCCCAGACAAACTGGGATGGTGGGTCACCTGATGTGAAGTCTCAGATGACTTGACAATTTCTTAGGCAACAAGTCTCCATGGCCTCAAGTTGACGTAAAAAAAGAAAAGAAAAGAAAAATCACACTGTAATAGGTGGGAGGCAGGAAATTGCCTGTTTTTCTCTAGTGACAGCAACACTGATGAAAATAGGGTTGAGTGACGAAGGCCAAATTTATGACCACCCGCAGGCCCCAAAGGCATTCACTGCCTGAGGTTCCTTCCTGACCTAGGGAATCCTGGGAAGAAAAGACGGAAGGGGTTAGTCACACCCTGCGAGTAGCAGCCAAGAGCAGCACTGGCTTCTCACAGAGTGAGCTCAAAGTCTCTCTCATCAGGAAAAGTAGAAGTTTCCCAGGGTCTACTCGCTTTTCGCAAAGCCAGAATGACAAATACTGAATAAGGGAAAGAGGAGAGGGGACCAGAAAGCAGAGCCATCTCCCCGTCTTTGGAAAAGTAACTTTCCCAACCCAGCAGATCCCTGAGTCTTCACTGGACCAACCACCTCAGCAACTCCACATGCCAAGGCCCCCCCGGGAAACTCACCTGGGCCCCAGGACAGACTCGGCTCCCCCGGAATGCAGAAGCAGCCACCCATGTGTGCATCATTCTCCCCAGGCCAAGGCCCCTGGGAACACCAGCCAGAAGAGCACTGGGAGGGGACAGCCTCCCAACGGTGTCCCTCCTCCCGCCTCCTCCCTGGCACACTAGGGACCAAAACCCAGTTCAACGCACAATGCAGCCTTTGAGATCCGGCTGCAGCAGGAGGCCCAGGAAGGAGGGGAGGGGCAGCCCAGCCCTCAGGACCCAGAGTCCTTACACTGTCAGGCCTCTGACTGGGGAGCAGTGCTCCTCCCTGCCTCTCTGCAGATTGCTTCAGGCCTATCAGGCTCTGGCACATTCCTCACATTCTAGGACTGAGATACACAGTTAGGTTCCTGTGGGGGAGGTCAGGGTGGGGGAGGAGGGAAGAGAGCATCCCAGGAATCAAAGCTGCTGTTCTTGTTTCCCCTGACTGACTTGACCCACACTGCCTTGCCTGCCAATGAGAAAGCCATCCCCACCCAGCCTCTCTCTGCGAGCACCTCCCGCAGCTCTCTGGGTGAAGCTGGAGCTGTGGGTGCTGCATCTCACCTAGGCCCCAGCAGCACCGGTGAGCCAACTCCTCACTGGTGAGTGTGCAGGGCCCCAGCCCCTGTTCCTAAAGCTTTGGTCAGAAGGAATGTGGGAAATCGCCTGATGGAGCCCAGCACCTTACAGATGAGAGAGGATGGAGGACCAAGTGTGGTAAGTCTCCAAGTGTGCACAAAAACCTGGTCACCCCAGACCACACTCTTTTCCATTTTGGACAAGGAACAGAGCCAGAGAATGCAGTGGACACAGTGCAGAAAACCTCCCATGACATCTTCCACATGAGACAGAGAAAATATAGTTGAAAGTCCACAAGATTGGGCAGAGACACGACTGATCTAACAACCAAGCTCACGGATCACTAATTACGTATTATTTTCTTAATGCCTAGAGCAAAGTTCAGTGGTGAGTGGACCAAAGAGGGAGGCGGGGCGGCCTAGAGGAGGCAGAGTCCTAACCGCTGCCGTGCAGGCTGGACTGAAGGTCAGTCTCGCATGCATTTTAAGGAGGGAGGTGGCCTGGCCATGTTTATAGTCTGGGAGGAGCACTGGGGTGACAGTATGAAGGATAGCCCACGGGTCAGTCTCCCTGCAGTGGTCACGAGTCTCCACTGCACACAGCAGCTCAGCCTCAGGTGACAAGAGTCTGGCTTCAGTTTCAATGCTGACTCATCTTGACTCCCAGTCCCTGAATGTTGGTCACGGGAAGGCACTCACTATACATGACTTCCTTTAAATCCCATAACAGGCCCATAATGGAGGCCCTATCAGCTCTATTCCATAGGTGAGGAAACTCATGAAGAGGGGCGTATAACTCGTCCAAAGCCCCACTATCTACTAATGTCAGATTCAGGACTGGAGCCAGGTCTAATTGACTCCACAGCTCGGGAGCTTCTCTTTTCTAATATACAAGCTCTTGCCATGACCACAGTGAAAAGCAATTAGATGATCTGATAGTGAACTCTCAGAGCTTGGTGATCACTATGGAAGGCCCAGGAGAGGAGGGCGAGGGCAGGGGCAGGGAGGCCAAGGGTACAGGGTCTCTCCGATCACATGGGGGATCACAGGGGGGATGTTTCCTCTGTGCACATCTGTCTAAAGTATCTACTTCCCATAACGTCCCATGCCTTTTCCCTCACCAAAGCAGTGTTTTAGGATGTTTTCTTGGACTTAATATAAAAGAGCAAGAGTTTCTTTAGACAGTAGTCACTTAAAATTTTGGGAGGTACATGAGAATCAGACAATGAGGAGAAACCGTGGTTTAACGTGCACATGATGACAAATGCTCAGACTTATCATTTCTCCTTGACTAGCCTGCACACCATTCTTACACAGGTGCAGCAACAGAGATCCAAAATTGCAAATGACCAAGACCAACCAAAGAAAACCCATCTGTCCCAGATGACACCCTGAGGCAGTTGGCTGAGACACACATTTTGGCAAGTCCATTCTGGATAAAGTCGTTGCTTCTCCTGAGATGCAAGAAACTAGTGCTATCTTGCATATGGGTAACTCAGATGAATTAGCCTGAACAAAGGGCTTTCCAGGCAGAGAGGGCAGCAGGTGCAAAGGCCCTGAGGCTGGACCATGGGTGGCAAGTGGAAGGAAAAGCATGTGTGGTTGGAGTCCATGAGGCAGGGCAGGGTATAGAGATGAGGTTGGAGAAAGCAGCTGGAGGCCAGATTGCATAGGACCTTGAAGGCCTCTAAGGACTTCAGCTTCTACTGTGAGTGGGATGGAAGACAATGGAGGATACTAAATAGAGGAGTCTCATGATGGACTTACGACTTTAAAGAGTCACCCTGGTTGCTCCTTGAAAAATAGGCTGGAGGTGCCTGGGTGGCTCAGTCGGCTGAGTGGCTGACTCTTGATTTCAGCTCAGGTCATGATCTCAGGGTCCTGGGATCGAGCCCCGCATTGGGCTCCACGCTCAGCAGGGAGTCTGCTGGAGATTCTCTCTCTCCTCCCTCTCCTTCTGCCCCTTCCCCCTGCTCATTCGCACATGCTCTCTCTTTCTCTAAAATAAATAAATCTTATTTAAAAAAAAAAAAAGAAGACAAAGACAAAAGAAAAATCGGCTATCACTGGGATTCCAGGTATGCCGCAATTGTAACATCCAGAAGAGAGATAATGATGGCCTGCACCAGAGTGACAGCAATGGAGGTCGCAAGAGGGGCTTAGGTGTTAGACATATTTCTGAATGAAGAGTATATTAATCGAGGTTCTCCAGAGAAGCAGAACCAATAGGGTATAAATATATCTGTGGTACAAGGAGGGCACTGCCCCACCTAAGAACCCCCTGCTAGGCTTCAGGCAATGGGAACTATGGTGCCATGTTCCTCTGGTAAATAACCAGACATTCTGGTTTGTCGTGGAAATCAGACATCAAGATTTTCACTTGAAGTTCCCAAACTTTTTAATGGTCACAAACTAGGCTCGCTTCGGCAGCACATGTACTAAAACTGGAATGGTACAGAGATTAGCATGGTCTCTGCACAAGGATGACATGCAAAGTCGTGAAGCATCCACCGTTTTGAGCATTGTATAGAACTGTTGAATCAGTATGTTGTTCACTGGAAACTAATATACCGCTGTATGTTAATTATACTTCAATAAGAAAAATAAGAATTAAAAAATGAATACTCACAGATTAATTCAGAAAATCTCCCAAAGTACTGTGTAGGCTAATACTTCAGAGCAGACAAAGATGCCTGTAGGCCAAATCCAACCCAAGAGCAGCCAGTTGGACCCTTCAGATGTAAAACTGAATTTTTTTTCTTGGGAAATTCACAATCTAGTTGGGATAATAAGATATGTACTGGGGAACTATAATTCAAGGGGAAAACTGCAAGACAATGTCATGGGTGGAATTCTGTCCCCTCCAAAAATGATATATTGAAGACTTAACCCCCAGTACCTCAGAATGTGACTCTATTTGAAAATAGGATTGTTGCAGATATAATTATTTAAGTTGGGTTCCTAGTGGAGTAGGGAGGGACCCAATCCAATATGACTGGTGTCCTTATAAAAAGAACACCCTGTGAGGACAGACACACAAGCAAAAACCCCAGCAACAATGATAGGAGTAGAGTTACGCATCCACAAGCCAAGGAGTGCCTGGGATTGCCAACAAACCACCAGAAGTCAGGAAGAGGCAAGGGATGCTTCTCCCTGCAGGTTTTTCAGAGGGAGCAGAGCTATGCAGACACCTTGATTTGAGACTTCCAGCCCCCAGAACTATGAGACAATGTATTTCTGTTGTTTGAAGCCCCCCAGTTTGGGCAGTTTACTAGGACTGCCCCAGGAAACTCCACAGTGCTGTGTTTTTACCTCTTGGGGTTCTGTTTGGGCATTAGATTTGTGGTCAGAAGACCAAAGTTCAATTCCTGGCTCTGCCATTTCCAAGTTGGATGTTATTTGTTATAGTCTCTCCTTTGCAAATAACAATGATGGTAATAGTCACATCAAGATCACAAAAAAAGTTCTACCTCACAAAATGATTGTCAGGATTTTTTAAAAGGAGTTTATAGGGGTTGGTTTTTTACTTGTGCAAATCTTGCGCATGCACGCGTGTGTGTGTGTGTGTGTGTGTGTGTGTGTGTGTGTGTGATCACTGTTATGCTAATTTTTGGCATATTGTCCAGGCATCCGGACTCTGAGGAAGAAGAGATATCCTTGGTGAGTAGAATGTGCCTACCAGCCACAGAGACAAAAATCTCAGTTCCAATCAGAAAGCCTACAAGGAAATGCATTCAAGTAAAATCAGGTCTGCCTGTCCTCAGATAATCAGGAAGATACCTTTCACTACCTCAGACAAAGGCATCCAGCCTAGCCACCCTAGCTGCATTTCTCTCCTTAATTCTCAACTGGCCAATGTTTTTGATAGACATGA